CTCTGACAGCAGAGGGCCTGACGTGGAGTCCTGACAGCAGCACCTCGAAAAGATGCCCTTCCTTGGTAGCATTTGATCCTTCGCCACAGACCTCCCCCTCCATCCTAGCACTGCTTGGGGGAAATGAGAGATACCCGGAGCTGAGGCAATGTCTCTCATTCACTCCTCCGGCAAAAAGCGTCCGCAGACTCAGAGGTCCCGATGGAGGTGTCGGCGGAGCCACATGGCAGAGGCCTCCCTGTGGGCCCCTCGGAAAGGGTCTGGATTCTGTTTAAATGCACCCGGAAGGGTCTGTTGACTCTAACAGGTGAACATGTAACGGGGATACATACAAATTCATTGTTGGATCCAAAATGTCAATTGCACAAGGACAGGGCAGGGGCCCTTGGCTTCTAGCTTCTAGCCCCGTCATCTCTGCAGTAGATGCAATCCGTCCTCCAGAAATTCCACCAGCAGAAACCACAGCAAATTCCTGGTGACCAGAGCAGAGGGGCCGCCCGCACGGACCAGCGTCCTGCCTACGGGGTTTCCTGCCCAGGGAATTCCACCTTCCTCCCTGCCTCCGCCAGCTGGGGCCGCCCTAACAGATGCCACAGACGGGGTGGCTTACAGGGCGGTCATTTCTCTTGCACAGTGCTGAGGCTGGAGGTCTGAGAGCCGGTGCCAGCCTGGCCGGGTTCTGGCCTGCAGGTGCCACCTTCTCAGGCATCTCTTCTGAGGGCATCACTCCCACCACTAGGGCCTCATTGTCATGACCTCATCTAACCTTCAGGCCCCGCCTCCGAATACCATCACTTTGGGGATTGGAGCGTCATTATATGAATTGGGGAGGGGGTGGGTGTGGACATCAACATTCAGTTCTGCCCTCTGGTGTTTGGAATTCCACCCCTGGGTGTGTGGCCATTTATTAAATGCTATTGTCTTCCTGTAGCCCTAATGGGCTTGGAAGGGAACATTAATTTTTATTTTATTTTATTGATTTCAGAGAGGAAGGGAGAGGGAAAGATAGAAACATCAATGATGAGAGAGAATCATTGGTCTGCCGCCCCCTGCATGCCCCACACTGGAGACTGAGCCTGCAACCCAAGCATGTGCCCTTGACTAGAGTCAAACCTGGGGCCCTTCAGTCTACAGGCTGACACTCTCCACCGAGCCAAACCAGCTAGGGCAGGAACGTTCATTTTTTAGTGCCTTAGTTTACCATCACTTCCCTCCAAGACAGGAATGATGGGAGGCCGTAATTCTGAAGATGAGGAACAGTGCTGCCTGCCTCACACTTCCATCCGGGCCGCAAATGCACACTGCCCTCGGGCTGTGCGTTGTCACAGCTGTGGCAAAAAGGGAAATGAAGTTGAGAGATTTTAGTGAGGGCAAGGCTTCCAATAATCTCCTAGAGGAAGTTCCAGAAATGACCGCTAAGTGGCAGCAGGTGAACAGTTGTTCCTAAAACCCTGCAGAACCTTCCGGGATAAGTTGTAGAAACAGGGTGAGGCCACCGGTTCCCCTCCACCGACCTGTGTCTCCACAGAGGAGCACGGTCCTTCATGGCTTGTAGCAGACTCTGCCATGGGCCCCTTTGGGAGTATGTGTAGGCATGAATTCCTGTTCTTATTATGTACTTCAGACCCTAACACACACACACACACACACACACCCGCTAAGCGCTACGAAGGAGAGGGTGCTCTAGCAGCGGTCCTGATCCGGATTTCCCGGAGAGAATATTCCAGGCAGAGGGAATGCTTGTCTAAGGGTAGAGGTGGCTGGAATGAAGGGGCCGGTTTGGGCTAAGACCAAGGTCAGGGAGCAGCCGGATCCCCTAGGGCAGGAATGCCTGCTTTCCTCTGGCAGCACCCCTGAGGAATCTGACACAGAAGGGACAGGAGGGTAGAGGGAGGTCATGGCCCCTTTCTCTGGGGTCACTCACTGAAAGACCATTCTGGGTCCCGGCCACGTAAGGTGTGCAGACTGGCAAGGTCCCTTCACTGAGGCTGCCTGCGGGTGGAAACAGAGAGTGCTGATTGCAGGCACCGCCCCATGGTCTGTTTATCCCTGAGCTTCCTTCCCTGACTTCATTTCTAGGCGAGTGAAATCTTTCTTGTGAGTAAAACACAACCTCCTGGCGGGGTTTCCCAGAGCAGATGTCAGGGCAAGAAGCGCTTCTCTTGGCTCAGGACAGGAAGACCCTCTGCCTCAGGAAGGGCAGGCTCCGGAGGGCAGAGGCGCTGAGGCCCTCAGGCATTGGTGCATGCAGGCCAGGGGGCACAAAGCCAGCAAGCGGGAAAGACCCAGGAAAGGAGACAGAACAGGCCAAAGACGATCGTCTCCTTCCTGAGAAATCTTGGATCTCTGATCCGTCTGTAACCAGGCGTCCTCAAACTTTTTAAAGTGGGGGCCAGATCACGGTCCCTCAGAGAGCTGGAGGGCCGGACTATATGAACTACTAATTCCTACTGTAACACCTTGGCTGCACTCACTGCCCAAAAAACCTGGCGGGCCGGATCAGACTCCTCTGCGGGCCGCATGTGGCCCGCGGGCCGTAGTTTGAAGACCCCTGAAACACTGCTTCCCCTGACAGAGCAGCCGGATGCAGCTCGCCAGCGATAGGGACCATCTATGCCCCAAACCCAGCCGAGGGATGCTGATTGGTAAAGGTGCAAGCTTGGTCCCTGCGTCATCAATAGGAAAGAGACTTAATCTCATGTGTTTAATATGGAATCTTTGCAGGTAAAGCCCTTTAAAAAAGCCGAAGATGGGGACTGTAAAATGTGCAGTCTGCATAGCAATATGGGGCCTGGGTACCGCTAGAGCCGTGGTCAGCAAACCGTGGCTCACAAGCCACATGCGGCTCTTTGGTTCCGTTGAGTGTGCCTCTTCCACAAAATACCACGGCCTGGGCAAGTCTATTTTGAAGAAGTGGTATTAGAAGAAGTTTAAGTTCAAAAGAAATTTCAAATGTTGTACTGTTGATATTTGGCCCTGTTGACTAATGAGTTTGCCGACCACTCAGGGTGAGCCTTGGCTTTGAACGTGGCTGTGGAGCTGGATGGCAGGAGCCCTGAGAGGTCTGGGGTTCTCTCCTCAAAAGTGCTCCTGGGATCACTTTGTGCCCTTTGGACAAGATCTCCTCCGGACTGTAGGTCAGAGTGTGTGCGGTGGCCTGTGCCTCGTGATGCATTTTCCTAGACAAAGTCACCCGGTTACTTTTGCAAAATTACCCTTTGCACATTCGGTAGAAGCAGCCTTCATTCCTTTGCCACCTCCCAAAAACTCCTGGTTGCTGTCCAATGCCTCCGCACTGACAGGGAGGAGAGGAGGAGGCAGCCAGTCCCCACTGCAGGGCAGGCGGCAGCACCTGATTTGTCCTGTATCTGGCTGGGGGCGGAGGGCTGGGCAGCCAAACCCGCTCTCAGTGCCCAGTGGAACATCTCCTTTTGGTCATGGGTCTTGCCCTGGCACTGGCTCAGGGATGGGCACCAGCTCCACCCCTCACTGCCAGCGGGCTCTGGGGTGGGTGATTGAGGTGCACTTTCTCCCAAGCCTGAAACCCCACCTCTCTCTTCTATGGCTGTGGGTCCAGGGCCGTGGCTCGGCCCCAAATCTATCTAAGTCTTTGTCTTACGTTGGAGAGAATCCCAGTCACAAGCAGCACTAAAAGAGCATCCTCCTCAATGCGGCAGCACTATGGACAGTTCTGTGTCACACCTGCAAGGGCCCAGCGCCAGCACCCGGCCTGCGCCAAACATCTGACTCCTCCGCCGCCTGTGTGTGCCGGCCCCTCCCCACGGGAGCCTCTGAAGGGCCATCCTTGCAGAAGTGCCGAAGGAGACCACAATCCTGATGTGTGTCAGGCTCTGCCTTAGGAATTTTCTGTGCATCTCATTCTGTGCATCGTCAATCCTAGGTTCCTTTCTTGTTCTCCATCACTGATGAGAAAACAGGCATCCCCAAGGCTCACCACCAGCCCGTGGCCCCGATTATGATCTAGTGGACTTGAGAAGCCCCCGCGCTTTGTTTCTAAGGGTCTTTTCCCGATGTAACAATTTGTTAGTTGAATGATGAACTTAAAAGATAATGTAGTGTCTACTAATAGTATTTTAACAAAAATCTAAACATCCAGCAGCCGCCTATCAAATATCACCCACCTGAGCTGTACAAGGAACCGAGGTGCCTTTTTGAAGTGTGGCAGGCAGCTCCTCCGATGGCGATGGTTCCCCCTCCGCCTCCCTGAGGAGGCAGGCAGCACCTCGCTGGGTCTCCGCCAAAGGGCATGTTGAGTCCTTCCCACCCCCCCTCTGGCGAACCCGTTATTGGTCCTCACATGTATGTCCTGCCAGAGCTGCGGGAAGTCTGAAGTTGCATGGAAAGCACAAGCCACAATCTGTTCGTTAGCTGCTGACCAGCAGTCTCAGCTGTTCATACACAGGAGCACATACGCGGGCGTGCAGTAGCTATTACACCTACGTTAGCAGACTGGGCTGTTGGGTCGATTCCAGGACGTAATCGAAACGTTGGAACCTCTGATCCCTAGAAGGTATAAGGCAACTTTCCTGAGCGCTACATACGTAAAGCACATGATTATAGTTACTATAATGCATAGAGACAGGGTAAAATATTTCTGGTGAAGGCATGCCAGCACACGAACCTGAAGGTTATAAGCACTACCAACCGTGTGCTAGAGTAATAAGAAATATTGCACTTTATATGAAATCACCGAGTTAAGTATTTTGGCGGCCACAAGTAGTGATAAGCAGGTTCCTGAGACCGTTCTTACAAGAACAGCCTATTTATATAGTGTGTCTCTTTATGTATTTACAAAAGTTGTTTATCAGTCCATTAGTAATCTTGGCATTATTTTCACTAACCTTTACCCCTATTTTTTGAAGGAAAACTAAGTGTAATGTTAGTTATATTTCCCTTTGGACCGATAATATTTGTTTAAAATTGAGAACGAAAACAAAACAAAAAACACACGCACACACACTCACAAAGAAAACGCATCCTAGTGATAATGACATTTTATTTCAGCTTCCTTCTCCTGGAATTCAAACAGGAAAAAGCCGGTCGAAAGGACCTCTCTGGAAGTGCAGGCGGAGGCTCTGTGCCCGGGTTTGCTCCCGTCAGCCAAACAGTGGCGAGCCTCCGAGAAGAGCGTCAGCAGATCATGCCGGAAGGCACCGCACTCGCAGTGAGCTCCCGAGAGCTCACCGTGAGTCTCCCCAGAGCTTTCGGAACACAGGTTTGAAGCTGGTTCCACGGCACTGATGACGCCCTAACGCCCACCCCATTCCCTTGGCAATAGTTCCGTCTCATTCTCTGCCAAGGACGCAGCTATAGTAACAAGGTACAAAAAATAAGAAGCATGCAGCCCTTTATTAGTTTTGCAAAGTCTCTGCTTATAGTTCTGTATATTACATGACTGTGTTATACAAATACAGTTATTTACAAAAACACTCTAACTGTGCAAACTTGTTACTTTTTAAAAATGTATGGAGAATCCAATTTCTGCCCATCCCAGTATATATTTTTAAAGCATGCATAAAAATTAACTTTGGTGTGGGAAAACTACTCTATGTGCTGTCACATATAGTGTTTTTATGTCTATTTATATATTTACAAAGGTTTATCAGTGTACAGAACAGTACAGAAGTTACACTTTAAAATCCACAACCTACTGTAATAGTGTGGGTTTTCAGGTCTCAAAAAACAAAGGAACGGGTTAGATACTGCAAAGAAAACAACTAGAGAATCCCAATATGTTTAAAAAAAAAATGAAGAAGAAGAAGAAGAAAGCAATGCAAATAAAGCTAGCTTGCTTGGGCTGGCAAATTATTATACATCATTTTCATGGCAGTGCAATTGGTTTGATAAATTGCTTTCTACATATGACCCTGGGTTGGCCTGTTGTCTAGACACTACTTTCAAATGTACAATGCTCTAGTATCAAAATGTTTTTGGCAAAAAAGATCTTGAAAGGAACCATGGAGTTTTGACAAAAATAGAAATCTGTAATAAAGCTAAATAACACTAAAATAAAAGGAAATATTGTAGTATCTCTTTTACAATTTGTATAGTCACACTTGAGTATTTCTCTGTTCACTTCTAGTCTCCGTAATGAAAAATATTTTTATACAAAACATACTAAAATTCTGGAATCATACATGTTTTACATGCTGAATACATTTTTCTTTTCCTGTCTCACATACACCCTTCTCTCTCGCCATACTCTCTTCCTGTAACACGTGCTTGCTTCATTTAACAGGTGTTGAATACAGACAGTTAACACTATGTAATTACAAGAGCAACAACTAAAAAGACAAAACCAAACCCAACAAGCTTTACTGAAATCTACTCATCCCCAAACAGCACAGCAATATGTTACATTCTCTTATGAAAACAGTTGTTAGAAGACTGATACAATTTCCCCCCTAAATTTTTAAATGTGACTCCAGCTTGTGCCTATAGGATGTGGCCTTTAAGAGGTTTCCTTTGCTGTGGACGGGGTGGCTTTGCTGGAGCTTCCGTTCTGTGCCTTGTAGCTGGTGAGGCTGGGGGTATGGATGGTCCTGATGCTCCGGGCACCTTGGTTCAGTGAAGTGGGGGAGGCGGGGGAGGGGGGGGAGGAGGAGCAGGAGGGTGGGGCTGCTCGGCCATTGGGAGTCTGCAGTGAGAATGAAAGATGGTGACCTTTACCTGTGTGAGTGGGGCTCTGAAACTTCAAGGAGCCATTAGAGACAGAGGGGATGAGGGAGGCGGAGGAGGCGGATCGTCCTGTTTGGGGGCTGAGAGGGTTAGAAGTAACCAGTGGTTTAGAAGCAGCTGGGTTAGGGAGGTTAGAGCTGTCACCGCTAGAAGAGGGCAGAGAGCCGCTTTTCCCAGAGCTGGGAGAAAGGGCTGGAATCTTAGAGGCAGGTAAGGAGGGGAAAGCAGGCTTACAGTCCCCACCAGCTTTCTTAGCACTTCCATTAGCCTGCAAATAAAGACGGCGGGAGACAGTTTGTCAGAAAGCTGGTAACACGATCGATCGTTCCACAGGGTCTGGCAACACAGCCCTTCTGAGAATCATTAAATAAAAGACATCCAACCCAACCAAACCAGTTCAAGGCCTGAGCTAAGTCTCACTGTGCTGTATTGGACCTGGGAGAAGACCCCAAAGTACAGAGCGGAGGGTGCAGAAAGGAAGAAGGCAGACCATGTCTGGGGCTGGGTCAGCCATGCGTCTGGGTCACGAAGGGGCGAGGGCGGGGCGTGGAGGTTAATGTGCCTCTAATGCAATGCAATCAGCATGTCCGTTAGTTAGTGGGGGAGACTTCCAGGACGGTTCAACCACAGGCTTGCCTACTCGGCGTCTCAGGGCGTTCTGGTGAACCACTACATTCGCCAAAGAAAAGCCAACCAGCGAGGCAGCTTGTGTTAATGGCTAACCTTGGGACTCACAAAGTAAACGATGTTTTATTGCAAGCATGCAAAAGCGTGGAGGAAGAGTTCAACAAAGGTTTTTAGACTTTCTTCATGCCCCAGATCCAGGAAGTCTACACGGGCCATAGCTTACAAGGAAAACACAACGTTTGGTATAAACTAGGTCAGCAACTTGCTTCACCACTGCACGTGTGTCCATCCAAAACCGCTTTTAAGGTAAAACTACCTGACGGTATTGGCGGGGATCCTGCAGTTTGGTCTGCTTGCCGGGCTTGTCCAGGCTGCCGGGTCTACTCTTGTTGCTCATGGGCACGGGCATCCTGCTGGTCTGCGGGGTCCCACTGGGGGCCTGTGGGGAAGAGCAGCGAGAGGGGGGAGAGAAGGGGAGCACGTGAGTGGGTGATCACCGAGAAGCTCAACGTGAGAAGCCGCAGCCCTCCATGCAGAACAGGCCTGGGAGACGGACATCAGAAGACACCACTGGGTTAATTCCGAGAATCAAACAGAATAAACTGCTCCACTACTGATCAAACGGGTTTTAATGTGAGTGCCAGAGCAATCATTTCAACGGCAAGTGGATGACCCAGCATCCTTGCGCGGTCTACCCAACACCAATCAGCAACAGAGGTAAAACCAGAGTCCATTAGCTGTTAGACACCCAGTTGTTGTTGTTTTCGAAGGGGAGGGAGGAAGTGTGAGAGAAAAGCATCAAGGCGAACAGACAAAAAAAAAAAAAAAAAAATCAAGTATAATTAAACGAGCCACCTGAAAGGAAGCAAGTCAATCACAAGACACCTTTGGCTAACGGTGATTATGGCAGATTTAGGAAAGCGGCTGGGCCTTTTCATTTTCTACCAGACCAAGATACCTTACGTGAAGCTGAAGGGATGGATGAGGGGGGCTCTAGGGCAGTGGGAGGTTCTTCCAGGACTAGCAAGGCTCGGGGAGAGGAGGCCTCCCGGGCTATGTGGGATGAGCTTGCAGCAGAATCTCTGCCAGGAGAACACGAGGTGTCCGTGAGGGCTTTCGGACTCATTTCACTGATGGTGTTTTCCAGCTGCTTGATGGTCTGCTCCAGGCTGTCCAGGGTCCTGTAGGTGTTATTCCTGATCTCGTCTGTCCTGGAGAGGGAGGACGTGCTCTCCAGCCCGGGCTGCCCTTGTCTCCGGAGCTTGTGTTGGGGGGCGTCTTCGGGCGGAGAAGACTGAGGGATTTCAAACCGCTTGGCTTCTTTGTGCTGCTTCAGAGTGCCGTCCTCTTCCTCCTCTTCGTAGACCACTACCTGCAAGGTCTTCTTCCCCGTCTTGGTTCCTGTGCGGATTGCCTGCGTGAGGGCGGCGAGTTGCTTTTTAGGGAATTTGAACTTGAACTTTTTCTTGGGACTCTCTGACTGGTCGTATGCCCCATCACACTTGCTTTCTGAACCTGGAGAGTCTGCTCCGCCGCTCGTGGCCAGCTCGGCCTTATTCACTCCCTGTCCTCCTGACACTCCGGTGTCTCCAGAGAGGGAGCGTGGCTGCAACCGGCTCTCGGCCTGTAGTCCTGAGCCGGGGCCTGACACGGCCTTATGGAACTTTTGGGAAGTGTCATTCTGGACCACAGCATCTCCATTTTCCTCCTCTTCCTCCTCTTCTATCTTTTCCTCTGTCATCATTCTCTCTAATTCCTCATCGCACTCCTCAAATATGGTTGAAAGTCTCTTATACGCAGATCGGATGTCCATGGGTTCGTCAAAAATGATGATGACTGGTTTCTTGTCTAGGCACACGACTGGCTCTTCATTTTCAGTCCCTTCTTGTTGGGAAGTCATCTCTTTTTTGGCATCAATGTTCACTGTCTGCACATCTTCTCCCTTCTTGCTCACTATCTCGCGGACCTCCCCGCTGGAGAGAACCTGGACCGCAGTCCTGGTGATCATGAAGGCGATGTTGTCTGTGGGCCCACTTTCCTCGGTGGGAGAACTCGGGGTTGATTCTCTGTCCTCATTAGGCTTTCCGTTATTCGCATGCCAACCCCCCTTGGGTCTTAGCACGACTTGGCCGAACTCTGTCACAGGAACCTCTTGATCTTGAGTTTGGACATCACAAATACTCAATTCAGTAGACCTAGTGGGCGAGAGGAAGTGACATCTATCCGCATTTTCTTGACCTTGTTGAGCCATCTCTTTTGTCTTCCCATAATTCATCTTCTGGTTCTCAGGGTCAGATGGAGGGCCCTGCAGCCCTGAGGTTTTAGGCCCTTTGCTTATTTCATCTCCTAACAAATTGGTGCCAGGGAAATTGGAACTGACCTTAGCCACATTTTTCTGGGAATAGTTTCTACTGTCTCTAAGTAAACTCTTATTGGGTATGGAATTTTCCTTCATTAAGATGTCAGTTTTATATTCGGATGTTCTTGAGGCATCAAGAATATCTGATGTTCTTGATGTCAGTTTTATATTCTGATGTTCTTGAGAAATACTATTCTCCACTCCTCTTTCCCACTTAGGGTGGTCACTAGGTGTAGGAGCCCCCGAGGTGACCTGCGAGGGAGAGTGGAGGAGGAAAGTGACATGCATTAATCAGAAATGGATCTGCAAAGGAGGCTAATTAATCTGAATAGTATCGGCTGGAACACGAATGGGGAAACTCACCTTTTGGGATTCCATTTGGGGGCCATTTTCATATTCAACATCAGATTTCCGTACGTCTTCGTGGAAAAATTCCAAATTCTGGTAGGATAGTGTAGGACATGTTACTCCACAAAACCACACCCACCCCCAAAGTGGACTATAACTAAACTGCTCCTTTAATTACATTTCCAAAACATGCGGGCCAACCACAAATGTTACCACCACTTTTGGGCCACTAGTCCAAAGCCTATAGCTCTGTTTACCTTGGGCTGTTTTGTTCGCCAACTTCCAAAAATGCCCTGTCTTTGCATAAGATGAAAATCCTAATTAGCAAAATATTTTAAGAAATTCAAATCTGGTGGGGGAGCAGTGAAGAGAATAAAGGGACTGATTCTGTAGGAAACGTCCTCTTTTCTACATCTGACAGTGAGCGTGGCAGAAGCGGGAACCAGTGTGGTGTGCCATTGCAGAGGCACACCATGACAGCAGGCAGAATCAACATCTTCTGCCTGCGGCTTAATTGTGTCACTTCAGGCAAGTCACTCCACTTCTCTGGGCCTCAGTGTTCTTGCTTATAAACTGAGGCATTAGACCAGCAGATTTTTCATGTCCCTTCCAGCTAGTTATTTCAGTCCTATCAGTTTTGTTTATGGAAAGTGTCCTCCAAGGACATCTGCACTGGTAGGGTGTAGGACTTTGAGATAAAAAAAAAGACATTCCTTTTCAAATGACAGATTGAAATACACTTGCAGTTTGTACTTGCACTTGCCAAGGAAAGTGTCAAAATAGCCTTCAAAGCAATCACACCAAGAAAATCAAATGCAAATTCAGTGTGATAATGCTGCTAAAATATCATCTAAACATTTACAAAACAGATATCTGAGGTTCAGATTGCGACTGGCACATCATAAAGAAGGTTTTATTCACTATATAGTCTGATGCAGAACAAAGAGGCATCCCGAGGCTCGCACCGAGATTCCAAACAGAAAAGCCCAGCACAGAGGACCCAGGACGCAGAGGGCTCCCCCGGGAAGCGCACCCTTCCCCGCATGGCTGTGTCGGTAGCCCAGCCCTGTGACAACGCTCACACTAACCGTGCCCTGTCATTGCCAGGGCACTGCTGTCCTTTCTTCTCGGTGCAGAGGCCCAAGAGGAAGAGGTGTGTTTAGTAGGATAGGACACAACCCCAACAAGGTTGTTTGGTTACAGCAACAACAGCATAACAAAGCGCAGTAACCCAGGCCCCCACCAAAGTCAGCCCAGAGCAGTCCTGCTACCCTGGTTAAAAGTGGAAGGGATGTTCATACAGGTTAAGGGATAATACACAAACAACAGAGTCCCTATACGTCACACGGAAAGATCACACAAGGTACGAGGTGCAATAGCCAGCCAACACCACCAGTTTAACTTCTCCTTACCCCCAGGAGGGCCCCAAACAAGAGCAATGAGTGACTCAGCTGCTGTAGTTGAACGACATAATATCTTTTGTGGGTTTTTACATTTAGATGATTAAACAACGAATACAACAAGTAAAAGGTTTTATGAAAAAGAAATGAGGCTTGGGCCTAAGGTTTCCATTCCAACTGTGGAGTGAGCACGTTAAGACCTGTGTGAGGATTTATCCCCGAATCAGGGAAGGAATATGACATAAAGAAGATGCCAGTTCCGCTGGCCCAGGTGCTGGGGGGTAGACCTGCTCTCTGTTCTCATTGGTCAGGGCGCGTGCCATACCCATCATGAAATATTTGGAATGCCACCATGTGAGACGTGCATCGTAAGACAGATCGAATAGCAGGAATACTCCAATGGAAGGTCACTAGGATAAAGCTGCCAAGCTTAGGTTTCACATGACCTACCATTTTTGTCACTGGGCTAGAAAAAGAATGGGTGTATCAAAGCAAGTGCATTAACTTCATTCAGAGTAGCATGGTCACAACTGTCATGTAGCCTCACAATGATTTCTTAGATAGTCAAGAATGAATAATTAAGCCTCATTAATATTTATTTATGGGCTCTGAGATTTGGATTATTCAGACAACTGGTGAAGCAGGCTCAATACGCATACGGGCAATAAACCAGAATTAGAGACAGAATTATAGGACTACTGCATAAAAGTCAAGAACTAGGCCAATGCTTTCTGATGACAGGAGAAATACTTTAAGAGGTATAGAAAAGGAGAAGCGTAGCCCAGGAAGAGGTTAATGACAATAATTTGGGGACAAGTCTGAAACCCACATTGTATATAATACTCAAATGTAAGTCTGATGCTGCTATTATGGAGTAGATCAACCTACTAAGTATAATAATCTAGAATAAGCACCTGTGATTAAACCCAGTGTTGGGCACTCAATACAGACCTGCTTATTATTAGCTAATGGACCCCTGATTGAGATAAAAGAGATGGGCAGGATATGGGTTTCTAATTGCTGGACAAAACATCTCATGCAAATTTCAAGGCAATTAACAAAATTCTACAATGAGACAATAATTGTCTTTAGAGGGATCTTCAAGAAGTTCCCAGTTTCTAGTGTTTTAGACAAAAATAGTCCCAAATGTGCTAGGGCTTTTCATGGCCTGATTTTAATAAAGCCACATAAGGAAATTCCAGAGACTGGGGTGCGGGGGGGGGGGGGGGGGGGGATAGTATTTCCAATATGATTGTCATGGATTCAATCCAAATTAGTAGGAGGTTTTCATCATGAGATTTATCAACAATAATGTCATAATCTCCCATGATGTACTGGGAGATTGCACGTTGCCTGGTTACTGGCTTCCTGTGCAGACTCATTGTACACAGGGTCTCTGGGGGCTGTGAGCCAGGCAGGAGCAGGCGGGGGGGCTGCAGGCACCACGCTGTGTCTCTTGGAGGGTTATATTACAATAACTTCCTACTTCGTGACCCTTGAGCTCCTCACTGAGCTTACGTGCACACGGACCGTGGAGCCCACTTGGAGTCGCAATGCGCTAGCCGAGATGTTTAACTTCATTTAAGGGCAACCAGAACCTCTGAACTCTGAAATGTACCTTCTGGTGAGATGTGTTAGGACTTGAGTTGGTCATAATAAGCTTTCTAGCCTGGCATTTGGACAGCAGCTTCATTCCCATAAGATGGCTCTATTGCCCAAACATCATAAAAGCTCCAGGTCTAACTTAATGTTGAGGTTCAGAGATACTCAGGCTCACGTCCTCTCCCTAAAGTACTGAGGTCATGACGATGAACTTTGTTCCAGAGCCTGGACATCTGTTTCGAAGCCATTCGAATGCCACAAAGTGTATTAGCATTAAAACTATACTGAACTACTACTTCTCCTGGACGGTCCACTTGGGAGAATTTGTAACATAAGAGAATTCTGTTGGGCATCTTTAAACATGTGTGCAGATACATGTGTGTGTTTCCATGAGCATGCGCCTGTGGATGGCCGCAGGTGTGCAGCCTCGCCCTGAGCTTCCTTCCTGGAATCTACGGCTTTCACCGATTTTTAATATAGATGCTTTGGTCCAGGAGCTATGTTAAAAATGAGAAAAGTGCTACAACCTTAGTTGGTGTTTCTTTTTTTGTGTGTGTGTGTGTCTGTAAGAGTCATTCTAGACAATCTTGAAAGATGCATATTCTTTAGTTTGTGAAGATAATGCCTCAATTCTGCACACACTATTGTGCACAGAAAAGATGCATCTGCTCAGGAAACCTCAGCCAGTTATCTCTGAACTAAACGCAAAGCGGTGTCTCAGTTCATTGTCTTTTTAAAGGTGAGAGGAAAGGAGAGGGCACAGAAGGACAAGCGCAGGAGCGGTTAGTGTCAGAGCAAGGAAAGAAGGGCTATTCGAGCGCGTGGCAGAGGTGTAATTGCCACGTTACCTTCTTCTCCTTGGGTGAGACTGTGGCCCCCGGCCTAGTGTCTTTAGCGTGACTGTCAGCCCGGGACTGCTCAGCGTGACTGTTTGAATTTACATCCATAAAGGAACACTTCTGGAATGCCTATGGAATTAAAATACTGAGGTTAACAGGATTCTGTGTAGCGGTGAGGAAGGAGGAGACAGGCAGGCAGGGAACCAATCTAGACTGGAGATCGCAGCCCCGTCCTGCATGCAGGTCACACCAGGGCCGGGAGGCAGCACCTTGAAAACCTGCACCCCTGTGGCCTCAGGCCCCCAGAGCTGGCGAGGGGGCGGAGCCTGGGGCCAAGGCCTCCTGATTTCTGGCCACAGCAAGATAAAAGGACACAGTCCTTGCATAGAACACCCTTTCTTCCTGTCCAGGGTGAACCTGGTTTGTGCTTAGAAGAGCTTCTTGTTTTAATCTTTCAAAAATATTAAATATGTAAATGAATTAATTAAAAATTAATTAATTAATTTTCTTTCTCTTTCCTTGATTTTTTTTTATCAGACTCAATTTATTTATTGAAGCTATAGAAAAGGGGCACAAGATATTAATTAAAAACCTTTAAACCTTAAAATAAAAGTAATGCTTGCCAGTTCATTGTCTGAAATAGTAACAGGGACTCCGTGCTCCAAAGCATTCCGAGGTTCACTGAGAAAATGGCGCTCTGCAGCACCCTCAGATTCTGAGTGGCCTCGGAGCTGCCTGAGGTTTCTGAAAATGTCCTGGTTTAGTGGCCACACCAGCTCACGTGAGCAGGGAGCCAGGAGAGAAAGCACAGGCTATGTCTGCAGGGCAGAGGGGAGGGCAGGGTGATGGTGAAAGCAGGAGACACAGTAACCCCAAAAACCCAAGGTTCTTGAAATCAGAGGTTTTCAACACATCACCTGGCTTTAAAAAAATACTATTACCCGGGGCTCACCCAGAGAAATTAAATCTGTAGCTCTGGGCTGTAGGACTTAAACATTTTCCTATGTAATTCTAATGGACAGCCAGGATTAAAAACTACTTATTTAAATGAATCATCTCAAATAATTCATTCACATTTCCTTAATGTCAAGTACTGTCATCTGGAAATAGCTGCAGGCAGAAAGAATAACCCATGTCCTCCCCAGGTGAAAGTCTCATCGCTGGTCCAAGTAAGGATGGAGCTGATGCCCAGGACTCTCCCCAGCCTGCTTTCTGCTCTCCGCGGACTCTCTGCCCCCGCTGCTCCGGCACCCTCCCTGTTGGCCCCGCGTTGCCCAGCACTCCGCTCACTAAGACCACTTGCCATCTCTGTTGGGCTGTTAGACCCTAGACTTCGGAGCCTGTGGTTTCTGATGATGCCTGTCGACGGGAGCATGAAAGTTGTTCCGCAATTACGCTCCATGTCCTGCCGTGGCGTTGAGGGCTGTCTAACCAGAGCTGCTGGCCAACTCTCTGAGCAGCGGGATGGGCCCCTACCCCAGCAGGATGGCTGGGTTTAGTTAAGTTAGGTTTAGAGTATGTCACTCACCACTAGTACTTAACCACCAATAATAAAACAAGGAGCCTATACACTGCTTTTGTAAAGCTTCCAGTTAAAGAAAGCATCAAAGATACTCAAACTTCGATGGAGGGAAATATTCTCAAGTGATGGGCTCTAAGTGGCTAGAACAAATAAATTAATGTTCTTAGGAGGCTAGTGCAGGATTATTCACAAGACTAACACTCTCCACTTCTTTGCTTATTGTTCACCGTGTACAGATCTACAATGATCTAGTGCTCTGTCACCATTTGAATCAAACTGGGCCACAACCCATTCACACGCTAATTTGGGGCCAGATGCTACAATAACCGGCCCCAGGATATCTGCCTACACATTTTAGGACATGCACCAATCCCAGCGACAAGTAGGCTTGACGTACCAGGGTCAATAGCCTCATTGGATAACTGGGTGATGGGTGCCTCCATGCTCCCAGCTGTTTCATGAGTTGCTAACTTTATGAATCTGTGATTCCTATGAATGAAATCCTAAAAACCTGTGAGTAATCTGATTGGTGGAGAGGATGTCCCAGTCCAGTCTGAGTTTAGTGAGGCTCGAAAGGCTCGTGCATGTGACCATCAACCAGCAGCCCCGTGTTTTCTATAAAATCCAAGCAGCTCCTCTTTAGCAGGCATTACCATGGGAAGCAGAGTAGGACAGCAGCAGTGGGAATGACATGGTTTGAAAGCTCTCCCCATTCCAAATGCAGGATGCAGATCCTCCGGCCTGCACACAACCTTGGGTACAATGCTGAAAAGTAACTTGTGTTGGAGCCCCAAGAAAGTCGTGATCTTACCGTCTGAAGGACCCCAAAAATTCCATAATCAGCATGAATCAAAATGAAATACTCTATGAACAGACTTTGGTCTAAGCATTATGCATATGTCTTCAGTTAGTTAAATTCTCAGAACGTAAACGCAGGGCAGAATCACGCCCATAATTTGAATGTGGGATCAGTTTTGGGTATAGCCCCAGCACCCCATCCTTAATCCTATGAGTGGATTGTGGCAATTAGTTACAAGCCAAAAACTAAAAATAACAATTTCTTAAATAGACAAGGAAAATGGTAAATAAGACTATTTGGCTTTTCAGAATATTTGGAAAGATGAAGTTGACATTGAATGGGAACCTTGTATGGAGTGAAGGAGGCCACAAGACTCAAGTTCAGTCATTGTAAATATCAAGGCCAAGTAACAGGACCCCGCCTGAATCGGGAGTTCAGAAGTTCTTATTAAGAGAAACCATGGCCAGTGTTTCTGATTTCCTTTTAAATTATTATTTAAGGGAAACAGACTATCAACAAAGAGGAAGAAAAGTAAATTCTAGAGCTAGAAAAGCTTGCTATTGATTTTTTGTGTACACTTTTTGAGTTGTTCCATGAAATGGTCATTCCTTATACACATCAAAAGGTGTGCTGAGAGCCCAGTGAAGGCAGGGCCAGCCTTCTCTAGCCAATGAGTCCGTTGAGAGATGTAGGCAGAATCCCTGATGAGAAGAGCAAGGAGCTATGGTCAGTCACTGCATCCACATACCTGGAGTTCTGCCATGATTTTGTCTCCTTCTTCTTCCTCTTCCTCGTCCTTTGAGGAGCAGGTAGTGACTGGTGTTGGGGATGGAGTCCATGATGAAGCAGGCTCCTCTGCTGGGCACTTTGTGGCTCTAGCCTGCAGGCTTGGTCCGGCATCTTCACTGCTTACCTGAGGAAGATTCAAGCCACAGATGTTGGCTAAACACCCCCAGGTCTGGCAAAAAGAGGGTGTGACCAAAGAGGACCTCATGTTCCCTCACTGCCTACTAAACTGACTTCCTAGCTCTTCGAATTGAGTTGAAGGGCTATTTTGTCCACTTGCATTTAGTTTAGGTTTTTGTGAACAGATTGAAGAATTATAATAAAATTATAACTCCTCACCATTCAATGCCTGTAAGAAAGGTCCTGCTATACTATCTCTCCTTGAAACTTGAATTTTACATTGAACATACTGTCTAATAAAAGAGAAACATGCAAATTGACAGTACCTCCACTACATCCACAAGCCACGCCTACCAGTCAATCAGGAACGAGTATGCAAATTAACCCAACAAAAATGGCAGCAGCCATGGAGCTAGAGAGCAGGAGGCTTGGGTTTCCCCCTGGCAATGGAGGAAGCCAAGTTTCCTTCCCCACCCTGGCCTCCGCTCAAGGCTACAAAGTTTCAATTATAGAGGATAAATAAATCCAGATACCAGGGCCTCTGCTGGGGTCACTTGGGGTATGTGTGGCTGGCCTGCAAACCACCACAGGCCCCTCATCCAGGCCACCCCATGTCCCAAGAGAACCCCCACCCTGATCCAGGACACCCTCCAGGGCAAACCAGTTGCCCCCTTACCCCCATGCACCAGGCCTCTATCCTATCTAATAAAAAAGTAATATGCAAATTGACCATCACTCCAACACACAAGATGGCTGCCCCCATGTGGTCAAAGATCCTGCCAACCTGTGGACACAAGATGCCCACCACAAGATGGCTAGCAGGGGAGGGCAGTTGGGAGGGACCAGGCCTGTAAGGGAGGGCAGTTGTGGGTGATCAGGCCTGCAGGGGAGGGCAGTTAGGGGTGGCCAGGCTGACAGAGGAGGGAAGTTGGGGATGACCGGGCCTGCAGGGAAAGGCAGTTTGGGGGGGGGGGGGACACTAGGCCTGTAGGGGAGAGCAGTTGGGGGGAACAAGGCCTACAAAGGAAGGCAGTTGAGTCGAGGGTGGGGGGGGGAGACCAGGTCTGCAGGGGAGGGCAATTAGGGATGACCAAGCCTGCAAAGCAGGGCAGTTAGTGGCAATCAGGCTGGCAGAGGAGTGGTAGGGGGGTGATCAGGCTGGCAGGCAGAGTGGTTAGGGGCAATCAGGAAGGCAGGCAGGTGAGCAGTTGGGAGCCACCAGTCCTGGATTGTGAGAGGCAGTCGGACATCCCTCAAGGGGTCCCGGATTGAAGAGGGTGCAGGCTAGGCTGAGGATCACACCTCTCCGTGTATGAATTTTGTGCACTGGGCCTCTAGTAAAAGATAAAACATGCCAAGTTCTGTGCAAGCTAAAGCTTATTAAGCATTTCTCTGTATGGACTTTCTCAACCATGTTAGCTCATCCCAGTTATCTTTGTAAGGTGGTCTTTCTTTTGATTCCCTCTGCTACCCTTACTTTCAATCTCATGATGACCTGCTGGGCAAGTAGCTTATGATTTGCATTTCACATCATTACAGCTAAAAGTCAAGTAAGGATAACAGATTTGCTGCATCTAGTCTAGTAGCACTGGCTGATGTTTTTCCATCGGTGGTATTCCTGCCCATCTAGTTTTATTTGATTCTCTCCCTCAGTACTTTTTATGTTCTAAATGAGAGCAGACATGACCTTATCTAAGGGAATCATATGAACCCAGTGACCAGTTTGCCAGGCCTTAACCCATCTCACCTTAGTGATGGTGTTCTCCTTCCTGCTGGGGTAGACCACTTCGCCAGTCCTGGTGGTGGTGAGCCCGGATCCTGGCAGATAGCTCCGTCTCGGGGGCGGGGGAGGAGGAGGTGGGGACCTGCCCCCCAACCTGTCCAAGTCCTGCTCGGAGCTTGGAGAGTCTTCTGTAAAACAATGGGCCACCGCACAATCATCTCCTTTCAAAATGACGCTCAAGAGTCTGGTGTATTCCTATAACCTTGAGATGTTCTGATGCAAAATTTTCTCTATATTAGTGCAAAAATTAATGGTAAAAACCCTGCAGCCAAACTGACTTGTAATCCTGGAAGGACCTTTCACAAGCTAATTAACCCCTCTCTGCCTTGGTTTTCTCATCTGAAATGAGTATTATAACAAGCGCTTCTCCATTGGGGTGCCCTGAGGATTACTATAATACATAAAGCACAGTGCTTACTGGCTTATGATAAATATTAAACAAAAAAAGCTACCTTGGAGGGATGAGTGATCAGACCTAAAGGCAAATGCAGAATCCTGCTTGGCCTCCAAAGCCCCCAACTCCCAGGCGAAAAACAGCCTTCAGAGGAGGCACTGGGCAGGGGTATGTTAGAGTAGAATATGGCCAAGGAGAGGGCAGAGGGAAACCGGGGAGCACATGGGAACAAAGGACAAAATCACGGGGAAAGTGGAGGCTTTGATCATGGTTATGGGCTTGAAAAAGGCTCTCTACTAAAGAACAGAGACAGCAGATGCAGTACAGAGAGGATTATAAATGAGTATTGCTATCTACTTGGCTTTCCCCAGGAAAATGCTCAGAAAGAGGCTCATTGCAAAGCCCTTCACCAACCTTCCCCACTCCAGCCCTTTGCAAACACTCTGCCCAGCAGCTCACTAATGTGATAGAACCAGAAATTCAGGGTCAATGCTTGTAGTGGGCTTTTCCCAACCCTCTCTAGGGACTGGAGTGTTTGTCTTTTCTGAGCAGAGAGTTCTTAGAATGTCTGACGCGTTCCCAAGACTTGCCCGACTGGTGGCTCAGTGGTTGAGCATCAACCTATGAACCAGGAGGTCAGGGTTTGATTTCCCGTCAGGGCACATGCCAGGTTGTGGGCTCAATCCCCAGTGTGGGGTAGGCAGGAGGCAGACGATCAATGATTCTCTCTCACAATTGATGTTTTTTCTCTCTCTGTCCCTCTTCTTTCCTCTCTGAAATCAATAAAAATGTATTTAAAAAAAAAAAAGTTGTGACAGACTTGGGAAATCATGAGGGAGACATGCCAGTGATTATTCATGGTGGACAGTTCCTGTCTCATGCACGAGGGTGCTGGGTTGGTTACAGGGCCCTGCAGCATCAGGGCTCGCTGGCTCTTATGCCACAGCCTGGCCTCGGGATGGTTACCTCCAGGTTGGGTCCCTCTTGCAAGCATGTCAAACTCGAGGTCGGCGGGCCACATGCCTCAGCACATGCTGGCCCACCTAGTTCTCTCCCCTCCGGTGTGATGACAGACTCCCTCTTTGAGCAACTCATTGAAGCTCCTCTTAGCCCTCTTCTCACTAGCCCTGACCTTCTTACTAGCCCTGACCTTGATCTGCTGAGCCAAGCTTTAGCAAAGAATCCAGTTAGCAAGAATCTCCCATTCTTGATACCTGAGAAGTTCTTCATTCCCCACCCTGATATCTAAGCCCTGAGCCTGCCTTTCGCAGGAATCCTGCCTGCTACACCCAGAGCTGAGTCAGTCTCTCTCCTCCTTTGCAAGAGTCTTGAATAAAGTCTTCCTTGATGTTTTTAAACATCTGTCTTTGTGAATACTTTTGCTTTACCATTGACTGAGGCCACCATCGCCCAAATTTTCCATTCATATTTTTGGGAGCTATCCATCCTTCCCCATTGTATATACAGGCAGACAATTCACCCAAAAGGAAATACAAATGATTTTTTAAAACCCTAAGCTTACAATTTTACCCCATTAGTAGATAAAAATAAAAGCAATAATATTCATGACAAATAAAGAAAAATAATAGAAATCAAAGTTTACAGAGAATGGATGATACCCTCACCCACCTCTAGTGGCCTGGACATCAGTAGACTCTTTCTGACAAGAAACCAGGCCACGTGTTAAAAAAGAAAGCAACAACAGTAAGAACACTTTAACTGAGTGAAGATACTCTGGGGAGTAATTAAAAATAAAATTTATGCAAACTTTTTTTTTTAATCTGAAAGAATAAAAATCCCAAATGAGGTTAGTAAAATGTAATGTTAGTATTTTTGTTGTATAATATAACCAGGAGAAGGAACAATTAAAATTTATTTATCATTCTAAACATATAACATTTTTCTTTTCTTTTCTTTCTTTTTTTACTTTATTTTTATTGTTGACACTATTATGGATGTCCCCATTATCCCCCCTTTGCCCACCTCCACCCAGTCCACCCCCCTCCCCTCTGGCCATCACCACACTGTTGTCTGTGTCTATGGATTATCCATACATGTTCTTTGGCTAATCTCCTCACTGTCATTCATCCAGTTCCTACTCCCTTCCTCCTCTCTAACATCTCATTCTAAATTTATAACTTATTTGTAATTTTAAAACATCAGAGGAGACTCTATGACAAAAACTAATAGTGGGAAGAGTGAATTAGGAAAGAGAGAGATACAAAGAGGTAGATCATATTATCCATTAAAAATTCTCCATGGGAACTTTGGGAGAAATGCCAGGGTGGTGAGAGCAGACCTGCCCCTCCCAGGGCCCTCTCCTCTCTGGTCTGCATGGCTGAACCTCCAGGGCCTAGCCAGGCCTCTCAGAACTGGCAGGTAGGGAAGGAGTGAAAAACGCTTCTTAGCACAGAGTGAGGGGGAGACTTTCAGTGAGGAGTTTTAGAGCAGCTTTGTGGAATGAAAACCTGGAGTGTTACAGTTATAAATTTCCTTGATAAGTTAAGATGGTGATTCCATTTCAAATTAATTTTAGTTGCTGGATGAGATCTCATTCATTGAGTATGACACATTGGGGCCACAAATAAACAATGATGTCACATAACTTTTTTTTTTTTTAATCCTCATCCTAGGATTTTTATTGATTTTTTTTTTTTTTTTAGGGAGAGAAACATTGATTTGAGAGAGAAATACCGATTGGTTGCCTTCTGTAAGTGCTCTGACCAAGGAATCAAACCCTCAGTCTTTTGGTGTATGGGATGGAACTCCAACCAACTGAGCCAGCTGGCCAGGGTAGATGTCATATAATTTTAATATCAGAATAAAGCACAAGGCTTGTAATCGCTTCGTAGGCTGAGATTTTTTTTTAAAGTTATTTTATATTACTACTGACATATTGAGGCTTAACTTCCATAGTTCAGTTGGTTAAATTTATAATTTAATAATTTTGATTTAAAAAATACGATTTCATCTTACAAGCTACTCTCCCCCTGGGAGCCCATAAAAGCTGGCACTTCTCTCCCGCAGCCTATGAATAACTCCTGCTTTGAATGCACGCCTCACACTCTCCCAGCTGGTGCTGGGAAGTGTCATGAATTCACAGGAAATGTAGAAGCTGGGAAATCTAAAAGTTCCTTGCTGGGCATTGTTCTAGCATCCTAACATAGAACAGCTTCCCTACTATGGCTATGGTTACGGTTTCAAAGCAGCAGGGAGGCCCAAGGGACACCTGGGAGATTGTGAGAGCTCGGCCCCTCCTGGCCCAGGGCAGCCGGCGCAGCGGTCAGACCTTACCGGAGAGCTCCAGCCTGTCTCCGGGGGCGTCACCCTTGGGCTTCAGGGGCATCTCTAGGTTTGGAATTGACTTCATGATATTGGCCTGAGCTTCTTCCAGGAGCTTCTCAAACTCCTTCCCATTATAGTGGTCCAGGTTTTGTCTTTTCTCTTCCCACTTCCTTTCTGCTTGCTGAAGGAAAAGAGCAGGTGAAGAAAGTTGTTAAAAACAGAGGGAAAAGCTCATTAATTGTTTAGAGATTTCCTGTTGGGTGGGAGGGGATGTAACACAGTTAAAGTTTTAGCAAAATAACGCTCTGGGTTGTGTGCTGAGGAGCACCTGGCAAATCAGACCAATCTGCTGCCTGCTGCCTCTTCTACAGCTAAATGGGCTACACTCATTCCTATTGCAGCAAGCTCAGAAATCATATTCAGTCATTAAATGATGACTGAGCACTTACCAAATACTTCTACCAACAGTACACTATCCCAGGTAAGTATCCATAACCAAGTTTTTGTTTTCTAAATTGAGTTTTCATTGTAGAGATGTTCAAACAAATAGAAATAAATACCAAATAAACACTCACTGGGAGCAAAGAATCCAGTGAGCCATATAGCACATTTTCTTACTTAGAAAAACGGGCAAGTTGGGGGTGAGATTACTTAGATGACCTGTTTATAGTACAAAACCAGCAACAGTTGAATTGAGGGCACACAAATACCACATGAAATGATTCTTGATGTTTGCAGTTCTATTGCTTTGCGTTATCAGCAGTGCTTGGGCAAGAATGATCATTAGTTTGAAAACAGGCATTGACAAAATGTTACTCATTTCTGTAGATTCTTTTAAAAATTGAAAATGAACTATATGTTAATAAACACTGATTTTATAATCACTCAAAGTGTGCATACATTTCTTGGGACATCATATTTTATATAATAAGGGTAACATGCAAATTGACCATCACACCATCATAAGATGGCTGCTTATGACCAGGTTGGTACGGGGGTTAGTGTGGGACGACCAAACAACTGAACAGCAGGATGTGTGGGGCAACCAGTGTGGGACAATCAGGCCAGTGGGGTGGGAGGGGGTGGGGGGAGGGCGGACGTGTGAGGAGCAACCAGGTCAGTGGGGGGCCGCTGGGGGTAACCAGGTTGGGGGGGCAGTTAGAAGCAACCAGGCTTGCAGGGAGGGGGCAGCTGGGGGCAATCTGGCTGGTAGGGGGAGAGGCAGTTGGAGGGGCAGTTAGGGGTGATTAGGCCAGCATATAGAGGCAATGAGGGGCGATCAGGCCAGTGGTGTGGGGGTGGGTAGGGGGGAAGCAGTAAGGGGTGACCAGGCAGGCAGGTGAGCAATTAGGAGCCAGCAGCCCAGGATTGTGAGAGGGATATCCGACTGCCGGTTTAGGCCCTATCCCGGGGATTGGGCCTAAACCGGCAGTCGGACATCCCCTGAGGGGTCTCAGATTGGACAGGGTGAAGCTGGGCAGAGGGGACCCCCTTATGCACAAATTTTGTGCAGCAGGCCTCTACTATATATAGAAAATATAAACACAGTTTCACAAAAAATGTAAATCAGGTACATGCATGTGCTATCTCTACAGCCAGGCTGTAAATTCTTCAAGGGTTAGGACTATGAGTTACACTCCTCTATGGGGCTACAAAAAATGGAAGTATTATAGGACTCTACCTCAATAGACACCGCCCTGTTCCTGGCACTCACACTGTGGATTTCCTCAATGAACAAGTTCTGCATGGAGGAGCCATTCATGGGCGCCTGCGGGGACTGAGTTGCCTGTGATGACTGGGAAGCTGAGGCCACTTCCTGTGTGACAGCCGAAGGGCTGGTCGGGTGCTGGGCAGGGTTGGGTGGGGCGGAGGAGAGCTGGGAGGGCTGGGTGACCACAGGAGAGCTCTGTACATGGTGAACCGTCAAGGGCACCACTTCCGACTTCACGTCTCGAGGGACTGCTGCGCCGTGGAGGGGCTGGGACGCCAGGACTTCTGCGGCGGTGGCCTTCTCCATGGCCACATACTGTGCGGCCTCGGCTGCATCTGTCCCTTTCAAGAGCCCATCGGTGACATGTCTAGGAGGAAGCATGCATAGCTATGAAAATGGGTGACTTTCGTTTTATTATTACTATTTTTTAAAATATATATATTTTATTGATTATTTACAGAGAGGAAGGGAGAGGGAGAGAGAGCTAGAAACATTGATGAGAAAGAAACATCAAACAGCTGCCTCCTGCACACCCCCTACTGGGGATGTGCCCGCAACCAAGGTACATGCCCTTCACCGGAATTAAACCTGAGACCCTTGAGTCTGCAGACCGACGTTCTATCCACTGAGCCAAACCGGTTTCGGCTCATTTTATTATTATGGTGCAAGTGAATGCGGTGCCATCCCAAAGCCAGGCAAGATTTTGTTGCAAAATTAAAACATTCTAACACTCAGAGTAGCAGCTCAGGGTTGAGGGTTTCCATAGCTACTTCCCAACGAAGTAAATTTCCTCCTACTTATCTCTGGCAGCTGCTTTCTCCGCCATATCCTCAGGTGGTGGCCTGCTTTGCTCTGTCCACTTCCCTGCTGTGCCCTGACACACAATTCCATCACTGCTTTGGGTGGAGGTGGCATGAAGTGGTCACATGATTCTCCTCCAGCTGGCCCCGGCCTGGAGAGCCCTCACAGATGTAGTTCTGATCCCCAACGCTTCCTGACACCCCAGATGCTGCTCCTTTCACTTCAAATGGCTCAGGAGGGCAGTCTATGTTCTAATGCCTTCTGCTCACTATTCCTGGTATAAGCTGGCTTCCTTGTCGGGACTGGGCCAAGATTTCTGCAAGATCACCAAGACACCAAATCGAGCAGCTGGGTTAGTCCTCATCCTCTTCTGCTTTTGGGGTCATGTGATGCTCTTTGTCCACTGACACCCATGGTGCAGCGAGAAAGACATGGCGTTGGGGTCAGACAGACCTGGGTCTGAACATCAGTTCTGCCATGTTCTACTGCCATATTGCCAGGGACGTCACCTTTTTGAGTCTCAGATACTTTTCCATAGAACGTGATAATGCCAACAGCTGATTATGTCTTCCCTAGGGTGGTTGTTTGGCTCAGTGTAAAGTTATATACTAGTATGTGAGACAATGTGAGACTTGTACCTGACCTGTAATTTTTAAAAAATATATTTTATTGATTTTTTACAGAGAGGAAGGGAGAGATAGAGAGCTAGAAAAGTCGATGAGAGAGAAACATCGACCAGCTGCCTCTTGCACACCCCCTACTGGGGATGTGCCCGCAACCAAGGTACATGCCCTTGACCGGAATCGAACCTGGGACCTTTCAGTCAGTAGACCGACACTCTACCACTGAGCCAAACCGGTTTTGGCCTGACCTGTAATTTTTGATTAGTCTCTTTCCCTTCTTCCTGAAATGCTTTTTGATTTGAAAAAAAAAAAAAAAAAGACTATATTCTGAGACTGCCCTGCTACTCACGTGGCTGTTCCTTTTGCTACTTAGTTTCCCTACCCTGTCCCTCAGCCCCAAGGATGCCCCTGGACCTCTTCCCTCCTTTCCCTCTCACTCTACCGTAGCCATGTCTTCTACTTCAAATAATCATCTTCACGAAGGCTGCTTCTGACTCTAAATCTCTCTCCCCTTCCTCCTCCCTCCTTCCTCCTCCCCTACCAGCTAGGCAGGGACACCCCTCTGTCTCTCCCTCCTGAACTTCAGTCCACATTCCTAAGTGCCTAGTGGGCAGCTGTGTTTGGTTTTCCTTTCTAGCTCCTCAAAGGCAACACATATCAAAACATTTCTGCATCTTCCTGTGCTGCTGAGTTGCTCTGACTGTGACTGTCACCTGCGTTATCTCCCCGGCCATGGCATCAGGACACAGGCACGTCCTGTCTTCCTCACGGTGTCTCCCCAGTGCCGGATACAGCACATTCCACATGCCAGACACCAACACCAATGAATAGTGTGAACACTTTTGATGGGCAGCCGGATGGCAGCTAAGATTTCTTTTATTTTTATTTTAAAAGTAACTTACCTGGGTTTGTCATTCTGACCACTGAGCACTTATGGGGCAAAAAGTCCTATAACATTCAAAATACACATCCCATCGTTTTTAGAACTTGGTTCTCTGGAAATAAGGCAAGCACTGGGCTCCCTCCTCTGTGCTGGCTCTAACACTTTGTTTTCATTGTTTTACGGGGAGAGAAGGGAGAAGGGGCAGTGGTGTCTGCCAGCCGCTATCTGTTTCCACTTAATAAGGGTGGCTTGTTCTGGGCTTTGCAGATGGGTTACCACATTTAGGGAAGAGCTAAATGAAGAATTCTTTTACCAGATTTTTATCCTGCTGGAAGAAAAGGTTCACTCTGGCAACTGAGAGGACCTAGGAGAAGATGTGACTCAGGTACAATTTCTTCTATACTCAGTCAGAGGTGGTCTCTGCAGGAAGCCACTGCTGAATTTCAGAATTCCTTCGGGAACTTATGCAGGCGATGCTTGAATCTCAAAGGTGACCTTTTCTTAAGGTCACTGTTACTAGAAAAATCTCACTTGTTCCAATGGTTAATAATAATTTAGCTGAAAGTCAGCTGCACATTTATTTATCTTATAAATCTGATCACATGGTTACAGTTAATGACTAAAATTCTCCCAAGAAGCTGTCTAATTTGTTCCTTCTGTCTGTGACCTGCTCTCAAATCTGGCCTAAGAGCTGAAGGGTAATGTCTCTACAATTTCCTGGTTCTATTAAAAACAGAAAATGCAGGGACTGCCACTGTTGGAAACTGGTTTAGTTTTGGTAGTTGTGTCTACTTCCCATGAAAGAGAGGAAGTTTTATAAGGACAGAGTTCCTGTTTGTTTTTATTATCATATTAGAGGCCTGGTGCACGAAATTTGTGCGGGTGAGGAGGTATGTCTCTCAGCCCGGGCTGTGACCTCTTGCAGTCTGGGAGTCCTTGGGGATGTCTGACTGATGGCTTAGGCCCGTGAGCCCGGCTTCTGGGCTTCTGGCTGAGCGGCGCTCCCCTGTGGGAGCGCACTGAACACCAGGGAGCAGCTCCTGTGTTGAGCATCTGCCTCTGGAGGTCAGTGTGCATCATGGTGACCAGTCATTCTGCCATTCGATCTATTTGCATATTAGCCTTTTATTATATAGGACTATATAATAGGGACAGGCTGGACAGGCAGACTGTCCAAACATTACTGACTGCCTGGGTGTGAGATCAGAACCAACTCTGCTTGCTGGAGTCAACCTATCAGTTCCTCTCCCAGCCCCACCTCTGACTTCCAGTGAACTTCCTCAAAGCTCAGATTCTCCCTAGACAATGGGAATGAGAATGCCTGCCACATAGGGTTGCAAGTTAGGAGAGTGAGCTAATACTTACAAAGGCTTAGTTCAGTGCCTGGTACATAGGAAGTGCTCAGTGACATGAGCTATTGTTTTGAGTGTGCTGAGAAGAGAGAGATCTAATTGTCACCCAAGACAGCATACATGAGACGGCATGTATAAAGGTGCTTCTGGCAACACAATCCTGCCTGTGTCAGCACTTTCTATGTGAGTATAGGAATTTTCTTCTCAAGGGAAGTCCTGGGTGACTCGGTGATTTAGTTTAGTTTTTCTTCTGCTGTGACCCTCTTTTACGGGCAGGCAAGGGTGACTGGCTGTACCACGCAACGGGGTTTGTTTCTCTTTTCCAGATCGGATCAACACCTCAGGTGCTCTTGGAGCAGGAAACTCAAGAAAGGCTTTATTTCCGTTCATTTTCTTTGAACCGAAAGTCATCTATGCCCCTGCAGTGAAGGAGGCTAATATATTTTGATCCATTCTTCAGATAATTTTCTTAAAATGCTGACTGAGTTGACTAGTGAATGGCAAGCCCACGCATGTGCCGGATGCAGCAGGCCCTGCTGAAGGCTCAGGACTCCAAGCCACGCGCACAACGGAAGCTCCACGTGGGAAGGGAGTGTGGCTTCTCCTCAGGGCACGGGGAGTAAGATGTGCCATGTCCCAGGTCCCGGGAGCACAGAGGAAGCCTGGGAGTCCAAACCATAGGCCCTCAACCCTCCCCGCAACCCCGCACCCCCCTGCCCGGCCCTCTGCCTGCCCACAGCAGTCACCTCCGCAGCAGGGTCAGGGTGTCGGTCATGCTCCGCACTCTCTGCAGGAGGCAGTCCAGCCGGTGCGGCTCCTCCTTCAGGAAGCGCACGGCCTCCACCTCCACCCGCAGGATGGCTCGCATCTTGTTCTGTAAGGTCGGGAACTCTCCTGCCGCCGAGAGCAGAGGGTGAGCGGTGGGAGAAACAGAACAGCAAGCCCCCACCCCGCACCCGACCCTGGATAGGGCGCAGCGCGTGGGGTTCCCCAGCCACAGTGCTGTTCACACATCTTCAGGGAGAAGTGGGTGGACAGATGGGTTCAAGATAACCCGGGCCTTCTTTCTCGTCTGTGAACTTGGGCTGAGGCGAACTGTCCCTTGGGGTTGTGTTTAAGGAACTTGGCACAGGTGCCGGTTGTTGTAAGAGTCCATGAGGAATGGTATTATCCTGTAGCCCTAAATCTGACAGCGCCCACTACAGGAGAAGCGTCAAGAAGACAGGAAGGCCTGGGTCCCGAGCCTGACCCCTGGAGGTGCTGGGTGGGCCGGGGCATGAGGAAGTGAGTGAGTGAGCAAAGCCCTCCCTGTGGGACAGGCTTCCATAACCCCGAGGAAGCTCACCTTTCAGGGAAGCTACCGCTTCCCCCACTTGTCGCAGGAGGAACGCCCCATCTTCCACGTCTTTTAAGGTGACCATTCGGCTGGCTGATGCAGAGTCCTTCTTCAGGTCTTTCACCAGGTCCTCCAGCTCACTGTGGGGGAGGAGGGGTGCAAGCAGACCACAGAGTGTGAACACCGAGGGCTGACAAAGCACAGGCGCAGGGCCCGGGCTCACCTGGGCTCCCGCTGTGCCCTGTGTCCCAGCCACCTGCCTGCCACCCAGACGGCGGGAGCACATGTTAGCGCAGTGCAGGCAAGTTCACCCAGGCCTGTCTGTGGAGTGGCCCAGGGCGGCCACGGGGAAGGTGGCAGCGGGCTGACAAAGGACCCACTCTTCATCTTCAGTGGCGCTGATGCCAACGAAGGGGGATGTGTGCACTTTGTGACAATAGAGAGAAGGGGGGGGGGGAGGGGAGAGAGAAGGAGAGGGGGGGTAGGGAGATAGAGAAAGAGAGAGAGAAGGAGAGGAAGGGACGGAGGGAGGGAAGGAGGGAGGGAGGGAGGAAGGGAGGAAGAGAGAGAGAGAGAAAGAAGAGAAGAGAAGAGAAGAGAAGAGAAGAGAAGAGAAGAGAAGAGAAGAGAAGAGAAGAGAAGAGGGGTTAGGGAGATAGAGAAAGAGAGAGAGAAAGAGAGAAAGGGGAGAGAGAGCAAGAGAGCGAGAGAGCGAGAGAGCGAGAGAGCGAGAGAGCGAGAGAGCGAGAGAGCGAGAGAGAGAGAGAGAGAGAGAGAGAGAGAGAGAGAATATGCTGTAGTGGAGTAAAATGAGAGCCCAGATCAGGCTTCTTCTCAATTTGGCACTTGACCTTTGGGACCAGACAATTCTCTGTAGTGGGGCCTGTCCTGGGCATTTGAGGGTGTTTGGCAGCACCCCTGTTTCTGTGCACGGAGTGCCAGGAGCACTTCCCCCATCTGTGACAAACAAGAATGTCTCTGGGCATTAGATGTCCTTGGGGGAGGGGAACAAACGTGCCCTGATTCAACCTCTGGTTTATACTGATCGTCCCATCAATAAAGACTGCCTTTCCTTTCCAAACTACAAAGAGAAGAAATGATCCAGACCTTATTATCCATCTCTATCTCTATCTCTCTCTGTCTCTCTCTCTCTCTCTCTCTCTCTCTCTCTCTCTCACACACACACACACACACACACACACACACACAATCCACACTCACTCACCCTCATATGTGCACACACACCTTAGGGTACTGCCAGCTCCAAAAGAATTAAGTTAAGGCCTTTCACTTCAAAAACAAACAAAAAAAGCCTCATGTCACCAGGGAACATTAATAATCCCTCCTAAGCCACATTTGTATCATTTGTTTGCCTGTAAATCTACCCCCCACCCCATTTATAGAAATAGGGAAAGCACTCTGAGATGAAGAGCCACTGGGTGGCAGTAAGTGAACAGCTGTGAAGCTGTTATGCGGTGGAGTCCTGTGGAGCAGGCAGCAGCAGGAAGAAAAAAGGAAGGCAGTATTTGCAAAAAGGTGGCCCACCAAGACCCTCCCACCAGGTGGATGAGTGGTTGAAGTGATGGATGGCACCACAGTTGTGAGAGCGATTCAGGCAGGATGGCGCATGGTTCCACAAGGACCATGGGGCAAGCAGCAGATTCGTCCACCTCCGAGAAGCGGGGTGGAGTTCTTGCTGATGTCTTTCATTCTGTTATGGAAAATGGGCCAACAGTGCTGATGATCCCTTCAGATAAGATGATGCAACTTCAGAACCGAAATGCAAAGCCATCTCCTCACTGTCCACATTCACAAACCAGGGACAGACACCCAGCTTACGTGAACCCACGGGAACGGTCCCACAGCTCCTGCACCCGAGGTGGAGAGAATGTGTGCCATCTCTCATAAGAGTTCTAAATATGTGAGGAAACGTCCTTTTCCACTTCATAACCTAACAGATTGGACACGCTGCCCAGTCCTCCTAAGCTTTGATGGAAGAGCTGAGACCCAAATGTTATCGTGGTTCCATTAACAATCCTGCAGCCGGCCAAGTTGCAATTAATACTCTAAGGAGCTGTCATCTGACCAGTCAGCCTAAAATCCTAATTGAATCTCTTCCACACAATGTGACTCTTGGATTTTATAACTTTGCTCCAGGTGCTTATAAATACTGTAAAGGCCCAGCACAGTTGGGCCTTACATGTCAGTTTTCCCTATATTGATCATAAAACATAGAGAAATATGTGAGTGCGTGAGTGCGAGAATGTGTGTGTGTGTCTGCGTGCGCAAGGGGAGAGGTGGGGAGGAGGAGGAAGGAAAGGAAGAGAGGGGGGAGGGGCAGGAAAGGAGGAGGGAGAGGTGCAACTGTTCTCCTAAGGTTCCAGAGTTGAAATTTCCAGCTGTCTTTTGTAACCACTCTGATCCATCCAATCCCGTTTGCATTCATTTTCTCATTCCTATTTCTACTACTTGACTCAGCTCTTACTGACTTTTGTGTGGACTGTTCAAGTCAGTCCCAATATGATTTCTTAGACCAGCGGCCGCATACCTTTCGGACCTCACAGACCACCAGGGGTCCTCGGACCACCGTTTGGCGACCAATCCTTGTCTTAGACAATTTCTTTCTCCCTCTGTCAGCCCTGCATGCGATGGACAGAGGGATCCACCTGAAATACAGTCAGAATCTGTTCCTTTCTTGATCAAAAAAGCTTCGGTGACATCAGGCCAGGCAGGAACTCCCAAATGGGAAGATGATTCAGAATCTCCCCTGTATCTTTGTAAAACGCACAGTCCTAAGCTCCATCCTGAGAAATCTTGAACCAGGGGTTGGACCCAGCAACTTTCTTGAAAAGCCAGAAACCCAGTTACGTGATCTTCCAATCTCGGTAAACACAGAACAAACAGACATCATGCAGGCATACTGGGCGTGAGCATGGTCTAGATATGGGGAGGCACCACGCAAACAGAAATAGCATGACCCAAACACGAGACATGATTAGGATCTTGTATCCACGCTCCACCCACCTGGAGTACTCTAATTTTCCAAGGATGTCCTGTGCCTTCCTGGTCCTAAGACTTACTGGTTGTAGGGTTCCTCTACTTGGGGGTCCCCCTCCACTGATGAAATCTCACCAGTCCTCAAGACCATTTCAGTTCAGTGTAACACACCTTTGTGAAGCCCTACTGTGCTGTGCTTGTCTTGGAGGCACAGGAAGAATAATTTCAGGCCAAGTCTCCCTGGTTCCCGGAGCTCGAAGCCTTTATAGAGGCTAACCTGGCACCGGTAAACCACCTGTTTTGTGCTACACACATACTCCTATGTCCTGTTTTGCCAGACTGAATTTCCTCCAGTGGCTTGTGCACAACCTATTCATGATTGGCCGCCCCACAAAGCCACTGGGGAAGTCCTCTCATGACATGTTGGTTCCGCTCCCCTGCGTATCTCATTCCCATGCTGGCCTCTTAGTCTCAGGATAATATTGAGATCAAAGATGCCTCATTTTAGTCAAGAAGCAAGAATTATCTCGGCTAACCAACAAATACAAAATTTGAAAGGAGGACAATTACTTTTCATAATGTATTTAGAAAATCCATGAAATATAAAAAGGCTATATATTTTAAAAGAAGTTTTCAAGAAAAACCCTGAGGCCTACTTTTAAACAGTTGGGCCAAAATCATTTCAGACAAATAATAGCCTTACTGCTTCATGGTGAGAGGTTAACTACCTATAAATGTATGAGCTAAACACAATATTTTGAGATGGCGATGAACAGTGGTCAAAATTGATTTCTTTGAAAATAATAACTGAAACAGTTTTTTTCCTCAGACTGTTACTGAGAGTGACACTCTAATTTCACCCAGACCCACTGGGTTGGCATCTGAGGCGAGATAAGCTGCAGCCCAAATATCCAACAGGAGACAGACAGAGCACAGCGCTTTCTGTCATGGAGCCTTTGGGGTTCTGGTCAGACAGAGAATTCGGAAGTTGCTCCCTTACGATCCCAATTTGGAGGGTTTAAGCTCTCCAAGAAGCAAGAGAATTATCAGCACTAGGAGAACCGCAGCAATTACTATTCATTATATTATGAGGCGAAATAGTTCTGTGATAAATCTCCATTGCATAACAAGACGTGCATTAACATAAAAGATGTGCCTGCCCCAATGACTGGGGAGTAATAAACCTGCTCACTTCAATGGAGGGGCTTGATCGATGTTTTCAATAAGAACCTCAAGGAAGACTGGGAACTTTCAAGGAAGCATCTCTCCTCCGGATCAGACACACTTTACATTTAAATCCTTCTTTTGTGACTCTAACTGCAGTTGAATAATAGGAAGGTAATTTCAGCGCTGTGCTATTTTGACAATTAGTTTTGATTTACTGAGTTTAAATGCAGACTCCCCGTTCATCACTGGGTTTTGCCATTTGCTCCTTTTAATTCCATGTTGCTGACTGAGCCCTACAGAAGTGTGTGATGTTCCCTCCCTTAAAGAGACCAGCTCCGGTACCTGAGGATTGCTGAATTCCGTGGGCCTGGGCCGGGGGGCGCCAAGAGTCCATGGACAGCCAGAGCCACAGAACTCTAGCTTGCACATAGTAGGTGCTCAATAAAGGGAGAGGGGGAGAAGGCCATCTAGGAAGGGCCTCCTCCTTGGCAAAGTCAGGCTTCCTTTTCCGGTTCAACAGCTACACAGGCAACAAGCGAGGGGCACTCACCATAACTTCTTGACGATCTTCTCCTCTTCATGCAGGTACTTCTGTCTCTCTTGCTCCACCAGCACGCGCTGGCGCTGCACAGGGTCCTCCAGCCTCTTCATCATTTCACTCACCCTGCCGCTGATTTCCAGCTCAGCCTTCTTCATCATGGCCCTCAGCAGCTCCTGGTTCTGCAGCTGTGGGACAAAAGAAATCAACCTCCATCGGCTCTGCCTGCCTGACACGCGGTGAGGGCCTGGCAGGCTTCCGAGGCGGGTGAGGATAAACAGCCGCAGCTGAATCTTGCTTGATTTCAATGAAAAAGGGGAAGACCAAAGGCTGCATATAATGTTGCTTCTTCAGCCAACATCTGAATTTCAGCAGCCAACTGACAATCAGACTTTCATGTCTGAGTCTGCAAAAAAATAGGATCCTTTCGTTACTCTGGTCAATGCATCATGGACAATGGGCATGAACTCTCATTGACACGTTTTTATAGAGAGCAGCCAAGAACACTAGGTCTGGAGCCAAGCGGAGTTTGGATCAGAAACCCTAAGCCTTCTCCCAGGCTACTGTGAGATGCTGGGCATGTTACTTGGCCTGTCTTGGTCTCCGTTTTCTTATCTCTAAGGATGGGGATTCACTTCCGTTGGCAGGGCTAGTCTGAGCATTAAATGAGATCCTGCTTAGGATTAGAACAGGTACTCAACAAATATCGATTTGGCTATGGACTATTTCAGGATACCTACTAAAAGAGAATCGTGTACCTCTTTTTTACAGGGGTTCATGTACCAGACACAGACTGTTACAACATGGTGTTGATAATCATTATCATAATGATAATGATTCCAGACCAACCCAAGGCTCTTGGCAATTTAGTTATTTTCCTGGGTTATACACAGGCTGCTTGTGTGCATCAGACCAATTTCCATGTAATTTTTCCATATACTTTCTAGGGCACCCTTGTTTCTTCTCACAGAGTACAGGGTGTGTGAGTTTGCATCCAGGCTTCACAATAATCTAGTTAAACACTTGAGTCCTGTTTCCAAGAAGGTTCTAAGTGCTCCCCAGGCAAGGAAATTTCTGACAGCTCATAGGCAAGTCAATTCATTCAACCAGCCTCAAAAGCAGTCACTACGTTATACCTAACGTTCCCCTGAAATGTCCATTTCGTTCCCTCTGTTTTCTGCTTGTGCGGGCTGTCCTACGACTGCTGTGTAGGAGCAAAGGTGTCTTTGTCAACTGTCCATTGTCTGCAAATTGAGGGAAATGCCACCTGACCATGTCACACCTGTATGAACCCTCATCCTGGCTTCTATTTTCTCTGAATAAATAGAAATCAACTCAACAAGAGCCATAAGCAGAGCCACCACCATGTTCCAGCATCAGTACAGCACTGTGACCAACTGGCCATCCAGAGAGAGAGAGAGAGAGAGAGAGAGAGAGAGAGAGAGAGAGACATTGTTTGGGTTCAATGTCTAGTTTTATCACTTAGTAGTAGCCATGTAACTGCGGCCACGTTAATTATCATCCACAAAAAGGCGTAGTAATAGTTAAATCTCATAGGCTGGTAATGTAGATTCAAAGAAGCAATCCAGCGCTGACAGCACAGTACCTGGCACAACCCTGGCTTTCAGTACACACCAGCTCCTGCTATCAGGACCATAACCCTGGTCAGGGCCTGCGGTTTTGTCTGGGAGGGAACCAGATACAACTGTGCCACTCCTAGGTCACCTCCCCTATATGACTCACGACCATGCTCTCAGACTGCTTTGGCTGGCAATGTCTTTTCAATGTCGTTGGAAAGTGTCAATCAGTGCATTGCTGAAAGTCACCACGTCTGGAGACAATGCATGGCAGGCGGCTCCCTCCCATGCTCTCTGCGGCCACAGCTCCTCCTCCTCACGCTGCATGAGGCTGGCACACACATCCCCTCTCAGTGCTCCTGATTGGCCAAGCTCCTCTCTGCCACAGGGACTCTGCACATGCGAGTGCCATCACCTGGCTCATTTCTGTTCTCCATAGAGCCTCCAGGACACAGTGCATGGCACATCGCAGGCATTTCATAAAGGGTGGCTGAGTGCATGAATGGAGCACCATGGCTGGTAATAACAGACAGTGGAGATCTAAAACCTCTTTCCTGGGTGAAAGAAATAGAGGGTGGCCCAGGGGCTCAGAGATGGTTTGGCCTCATTCTAATGCTCTGCCTTGCTCTAACTGCAGTTGTGAAATATATTTACATGGCAACACTACCTACTATCAAAATGGCATTCAGTGCCATGTGTCACATGGCAATATGTATGGGAAGGGACAAATAAGAAGATGATTGTGTCTAACAGTGACTGATGCCTGGGTCCACCCACCCTCCCGCCCCCCAGAGAGGTGCAGCCTCAGCAACAAGAATTTTTAAAAGTCCTCAGGTGATTCTGATGTGCCACCGAGGCTGTGCCTCGTGGTCTAAGGGAAGGGCCCCTGAATGGACAGAGAATGCCCCTGCGCCATGAGCGGTGCAGTGCGGCGCGGTCCTCTGTGACTCTTGCATAAATAAATCTCACGGACAAGCTCCACTAAGGTTAGGCACATGGGAGGTGCCTAATGCATATTTGCTGTGTGAATGACTCTGCAAATAATGTTTCTGAGAAACCCGCAGACATATCAGAACACAAATTCATGTAATATTCCAATTATTCAGCTGGTAACACGGTCAGATCATATTCAAGTTATGGATGGAGGGAGGGAGACACTTGCCTGGAGCTCTGGGCTGCACGACCCTCCTTCCCAGAAAGAGGGGCTTCCGGGAGCCAGCCAGAGGGCGGACCGGCATTTCCTGGGCATTGTCAGCAGCACACTGGCTGGCAGGTGCACAACAGGCCATTAACCATGAAGGAGCAAACACACACTCAGGTTCTCTCTCCACTCTCTTCCAGTCCTGCTCCTTCGCACCCCACCCCCACCCCTGCCAGGTGCTCTTGCCATTGTCTCGGGCCTCCGCCCCAGCCTTGTGTGAAAAGGTGCTGAAGGCAGCATGTGGATCAACACTTCTCTCTTAAATGCTTCCAATAAATTAGTCATCAGCACTTCAAGTCATTATGTTTATTTTGGTTTAGCAGTGGCACCTCCATTTCCATTAACTTAAAAACAAAACAAAACAAAAACAAAACAACAGCACACCTCATTCCATTGTTTACTTTAAAAACAGTAAAATACAGATGCTCCTTACTTTCCCAGGGGTTAGGCCCTCATAAACCTATCATAAGTTGAAAATGCATTTAATACACCTAGACTACGGAACATCATAGCTTAGCCTAGCCTACCTTAAAGGTTCTTAGAATACTAACATTGGATAAAATCATATGGCACAATGATTATGCTATAGATTTATCAGTTATTTACCCTCAGGATTGCAGAGGCTAACTAGCCCAGAAAGGATCAAAATTCAAAATATTCCTACTGACTGTGTATTGCTTACACACCACGGTAAAGTTTAAAAATTGTAAGTTGATCCATCCTAAGTTGGGTATCATTTTAAATGCTCAGGTCAATGAGTTTTGACAAATGTATACACCAAAGTCACCACCACTAAAAAGAGAGATAACCATTTTTTTTTTTTAATCTGCCTAGAAAATCCCGTCATTACTCTTTGCAATCAATCCCCCAACCTTCAGTCCAATGAAACCACCAATCTGCCTCCTGCCCCTTTGGGTTTAGTTCTTCCTGTTCTAGAATGTGATATAAATAGAATTGTATGATATGTAACCTTGAGTGTCTGGCTTCTTAAGTATATTGTTTTTGAGATCCAGCCATGTTGTTGTTTTAGTAGTTCATTCTTTTTAATGTGGAGTGGTATTTCATTGTATGGATAAGTCCACGTATGGGGATTTTATACATTGTATGTACTAAAATTTTTATTTCCTGACTTGATTCTGGTAACCTCACCAAAAGTTACTTTTTTGGGGGGTAGCATTTAAAAAGTAGATTATATTTGACTTTATATGTATGCAATCAGGTCATTGGTGAGTAAAGCCAATTACACTTTTACTTCCCTCTCTGTATGCCTCTTCTTTCTCTTCTAGACTTATTGTCAGGGCTAGGATCCTCAGTAAAGTGCTCAATAGAAGTGACAGCAGCCTTCTTTGGCCTTGTTCTTAATTTTATGGGGAATGTTTTTAGTCTTTTAACTACAGGTTTTATAGGGTTTTTTTCCAGACATCCTTTATCATATTTGAGTCATGGGTGTGTTTATCATTGGTGTTGAATTTTGTCTTTTTTTGTATGTGCACTTATTGAAATATGATTTCTCTCCTTTATTCTGTTAACAAGGTCAGATACATTAATTCATTTTTTCATATTAAAACTATTTTGCATTCCTGGGATAAAACCAAGGATACTGAATTAAATCTTTTAAATATATTTCTGCATTTAACTGCTGCCATTTTGTTAAACATATTTTCTTGAGATATAAGTCTGTGGGTATTGTTTCTTTTAAATAATACAATTGATTTGTTTTTCTCTTAGGGTAATGCTAGCTTCATAAAATGAGCTGGGAAGTGTCTTCTATTTTCTGAAAGTTTTTTCCTTTCAATACTCTAAAGATGTCATTCCATTATCTTCTGATTTAACCTTTGTCTCTGTTGAGAAGTCAGTGTTAATTCTTCTTTATGTAATGCATCTCCCCGCCACACACCCCCGTTCTCCACCAGGCTAAGTTAAAGATTTTTCTATTGATCCCCGTTTTTCGCAATTCGATTCCAATGTACTTTTGTATGGTTTCATATTATAGTCTCCATGTTTGCTCCCTTACAAGACTGGGGACACCCCCTGAGTCTGATTGTCATTCCAGGGTTCATTGCGCTTTTTTGGTCTGTGGATATATAGTGTTAATCAGATTTAGAAAACTTCAGCCATGATTTCTTCTAATGTTTTTCTCTTTTCCCTTGACTACTTAACATAGTTTCACAAATCACTAAGTTTTGGTTCATTTTCTTCAATCTTTTTTTCTCTTTATACTTCAGATTGGACAGTTTCTATTGTGTTTTCACATTGACTGATAATTTTGTTTCACCAGTGATTAATGTTCTATTAAGTGTATTCAGATATTGTGATTTTTAGTTCTTGAAAATTCCACTTAGATGTTTTTTATGTCATCCATTTCTTGTCTCATTGTGTCCATGTTTTCCTTTAAATCCTTGAGAATAACTGTTATAGCAATTAAAGAGCCTTTGTTGCTAATCTTTTTTTTTTTATAATATATTTTATTGATTTTGTACAGAGAGGAAGGGAGAGAGATAGAGAGTTAGAAACATCGATGAGAGAGAGTCATCGATCAGCTGTCTCTTGCACACCCCCTACTGGGGATATGCCCGCAACCAAGGTACATGCCTTTGACTGGAATCGAACCCGGGACCCTTCAGTCCCCAAGCCGACGCTCTATCCATTGAGCCAAACTGGTCTCGGCTATTGCTAATCTTATTATTCTTGCCATTTCATCCACTGATGGATTTTTCTGAAAGTTATTTGTCACATTCCTCAGGATCATCACATGTCTAGTAGTTTTTGAGTGGATGCTGGGCATGCAGTTCAGGATTTTGTTGTTTTACTTTATAGAGAACTTTGTTGTTTCAGTGACTTGTGGATCATATTTGTTCTTCAGAGGCTTGTTTTTAATCTTTGTTAGGGGTAATCTAAGATACATTTTACTCTGGGGCTAGTTTAGTCCTAAAACTGAAGCATGGCTGTTTTCTGATCTCTACTGGGTGTCCCAGGGAACCAATCAAGACTCTTTACTTCTTTATTCTTGCTTGTCAAATCATGAACATCTCCCAGCCTTTTATAAGATTAGCCATTTTACTTTTGCTTAGCTTAGTGGTAGTTCATGCTACACACTTGGCTTATTGTTCAATAACAGACCCACAGATTCATATATGCATCGTTCTCAGCAGAGCTTCCTCTTTTAAAAAAATATATATATATTTTATTGATTTTTTACAGAGAGGGAGGAAGAGAGAAAGAGAGTTAGAAACATTGAGGAGAGAGAGTCATCAATCAGCTGCCTCTTTACCCGCTACCGGGGATGTGCCTGCAACCAAGGTACATGCCCTTGACCGGAATTTAATCTGGGACCCTTCAGTCCGTAGGCTGATGCTCTATCCACTGAGCCAAACCGGTTTCAGCGAGCTTCCTCTTTTTGATATTCCACTCTACAAATTATAGTTGCTTCAACTCTCTAAACTTTGACAGTATCTCCTCAGCTCAGAGTGTAAGTGCTTAGGTTACCCCTTTCTGCATTATGTTCTGAAAAATGCCCCCAGGAAGAAAGCTTAGTCAACTACAAGAATAAAGAGCTGATCTCTCCCTCAGCCAACAGAAAGGGGCAGAACTGTGGTCACTTCTGAAGATACAGGATTAATTTGGTAAAACCCAAGTACTGTGGCATTTTGGGAAGAAGAAGTAGCTCATCTCCTTTCCCCTCTAAATCATCCCAGGAAAGGTGATGGAGAAAGGTGGTCATCTTTTGAAGGGAGCATTTGTTGGGTACAAGACCTTCACCTGTCCCCCTTTACCATTATTACCAATCAATGGCAGACCCAACTGTAACCTACGAATGGGAACATAACTATGTGAAGATTCATTCAGCTCTTAACTGAACAGAGAATACATACATATGATTAGCCCCTGGGCATGAGGGGCACTGTTTAAAGGCAGGGCTTTCAAGTCAAGGGTGTGTCTTTCACGCTTACAGGATGCAGACACCCTACATGTTTCTGCGGCACCCTGTGACAGGTGTCTGAGATCTCAACACTTCCAAAGTCATCCCAATGAATTAGGCATTCATAATACCTGAGAGCAGTTCTCACCATGCAACATTCTAAAATCAACAGTGTCTGGAACACTCTACAATTTCACCCTGGAACTTTCTAGCATCACCAGCACATGCCTCTGGCCCACACCAATGAAGTCAGACTCTGGCAGTGGTGCTTGGCTATCGATACTTTTAGTAAAGAACTCAGGTGATTCTAAGGGATAGCTAGTTCAAAGACCATGCTCTTCTTATTCTCTTAGTCTATAGAAAACTGGAGAGCAGAGGAGAATATACAGTGTTTGAATGGTTTTATTGACCTTCTGCTTGGGCTCCTTTTACCTCCCTTAACTTTTTTTTTTTTTTTTGCCCTGTTAAATCTACCCACCCCACTGTGTCTGCATCACATTTCTTTTCTTGAGAATAATCCATCAATTCGGAAAATGAAATGCTCAAATGGGACACGCTCTACAGTCTAGGACGTTCCAGTGATTTAATTATCTAATTACTGAAGCTGGCAACCAAGCACCAAAGATTTCATTCAATTTCACTATTTTATAATACAGTTCAAAGAACATTGGAAGTTCTAATTCAATTTTTGTTCTTTTGAGACTATTCTAGAGTTTCGCATGTCTCTAATGATAGCTCCATTATTGGACTTGTGATCACTTTGGGGTTGTACTTTATTTTTGGAGTATAGAATACATATGCTGATGGAGAAACTGGAGCTGAGATGGTTTAATTCTTCTGAACTCTTTTTGTCTTACGTAGACTCCCCTGACTGAAGAGACAGAGGCTGGACAGGAAGGAAAGCTGACGGAGACACGGAGGATATAAAGACTGAGGTAGAAGTGACAGCAGCCAGGCTAAGAGCAAAGTGCTTCTCTTTCCTCAGGTGTCTGCTCTTCAGAACTGCAAACACTTCTAAGCTCAAGAGCATGTCTGCTCACTGTTCTTCACACTCCAAAGCCAGGAAAGCTGAGCAGTTCTGGGCAATAAAGGAACTTGTGTGGTTAAGACAGCATTCCCAGACCTTGACTAGAGAGCTGCTTTGTTTGAGAAGCTATGATTCTGCAACGGAGCCTCCACAGTTCAAGGGTTGAAAGGAGTGGCAAGCTGTGGGAGGCTCCTTCCAGAGGACCAAACAATCCCAGCCACCAACGGGGTGATGTCACAGCCACAGGCATCACAATCTTGGTATCAAATTTGCCACACTTCAGCGATGTTTCAGAAATTCCACCCCTGCCCTCAAACCAACAAACATTCACCTTTGAAAGCACTGCCATACAAACAATACATTTTTTTTTTTTTTCTCTTTTGAGTATCCACTGGGGAAAGACAATTTTCAAATGGCCAGCAGGTGGCGCTACAAGGGAGGAACAGTGTGAGAAGGGGCTTGATCTCCACAGACCACAAGTTCTAGTAAGAACTTGGGGGAGGACATGCCCTCTCTGTCCTGCACAAGCATTGTTTGGCTTGCAGAGTGCCATTGGATTTTCATTATTTTCCAACGTTCTAAAAATGAATACAGATATTTTACTTTAAAGACCCCGCATTACCTGATTCTCTTGGATTGCTGAAATGTCCAGGAACACTTACTGTAATACTTCCAGGTTAAGAGCTGGCTGGAATGGAGTGGTAACTGTCCTTTAGAGGGGCTTCTTTGTCATTGTCTCTCCTCCACTTCAACTTGTCGAGTTACTCTCGACACTGTGGCCACTGGACTTTGTCACCTGACACACACCCTCTGCCCAACCCACACGCTCATTTCATCGCAGAGTGTCTTTAAAACTGCAATGCAAGGAGAAGCTAATGCAAAGGATGGGCAACGTCACAGATGACATGATTCATAAAAGCATTTAAATGAATTTGCATGGGACATCCCAGGTGTCTGGGACATTGCCCGAGAGGCGGAGTCGCCTTGGAGGCCTGAGCACTGAGCCGTGCTGTCTGGTGTATCAGACCTTACAGTCCGTGACGGGGCCCCTCAAGCCAGCTGCCTTTCTGTTTATCCTCTGGCAGGTAGAATAAGGGTAAAGCGTCTTCTTGCCTTAAGGAGGTGGTGAAAAATGTAGGGCTCATGCCTCTGTGAGCTGAAGCAAGAAAGGGCCGTGGTCTGAAGCCCTTCCTTGTCAGACCTCCCTGTTTGAGAAGGCTACACCCCACTGGCTACTGTGGATGCCACACCTGTGTGGCTGGGCCAGGCTCCTAGGCGGGTCTGCTTTTACCATTGTTTGAACTATGAACTCCTCGAAGTCAAGGAGGCAGCCTGGGGGGTGGTGTGAGCCAGCTTTCTACCCTCAATGATCAACCTCCTGCCACAGGCAGGCGGCGTGAGGTTGACACATAAAGCATCTCATGACGAGCGGCACCGCCCAGCTCCTCAGTACCCACCAACCAGGAGATGCATTGCTCAGCTTCGTAGGATGCATGCGATTGGCTCACCGAGATTCGTGCCACAGAGGGTCATTTCCCTCCTGCTTTGGTTCCCACAGAGTGCACACATTCCTTAACAATGGGAAAAGGTAAGGAAAATATTATGGGACACACTATCCAGATAGAATGCAGATGTTTTTCTCCACAAATCATCCATGATGGCTTCTTTTCCTTATGAATCAGTCATCTAGTTTAATCTCCTATTTCTAAATACCTCAGAGGTCCTTGTAAAAAAAACAACAACAACAACAAAAAAAAACTCAACTGACTGTCTCACCACTTGGCCTGCTCACTGGGGGGAAGCAAGGAGCCGAACACTAAACAGGAAGTCGGTGCTGGCTGGCATTATGCTCCGCGGGGCTCCTGTGCTCTGTGCTCCCAGCTCTCCTCAGAAAAACAGATGCTTAATGGGCTTTTCATGCATAAAGGCACGCAGAGCTTAAAGAAGTGGCTACACATTGACTACGGTTGCAGGGAAGGTCTGGACCAAGATGAAGTGTGTGAGGGAGGAAACCGTGGTCCGCCCTGAGGAGAGGCTGGTGGAAAGCACCCTGGGGGGCGCTGTGGGGCCAGGGGTGTGGGAGGAGGGGGAAGCTGACTTTGGGCAAATAGGAGGGAAGACATTCTCCATGAGGAATAGTCTGTACCTGGAGCTGTCGCATCTGCTGCAGCTGGAGCCGGAGCTCGGCCACATTCCGCTTCATGTCGAGCAGGCTCAGGTGCAGGGCCGAGGTGCCAGCGGCCAGAGGCTGGCTGGGTGGCCCCAGGGACTCCAGGGCACCGAGTGTCTTCCCGCCAGAAACATGGGGAGTTCCTATGAGAAAAGAGCAGCAAAGACCCTAAGAAAGCCAGACAGAAACTTCAAAGTTAAGCCCTACTCCATCATAGACAGCTTGACTCTAAAAATGCCCATTTCCTTCACTGTGGAAATTTTTTTTTTAAATTATGCTAGTCCTCTATATGACAAAAAAAGGGAATAAAATTTAAATAAAGTATGGAAACTTAATGCAACACTGCAGCATGCAATCTATAACAATCATGTGCTAGAAGCTTAGTGCCAAAGGGAGGCAGATCAATGCAGTATCTAAAGCAGGAGGCCATGAAGGAAGCTGTCTGTCTGTCCACCTAGCTTCCGTTGATGTATATACAGGAGTGCAGAGGAAAGATCAGATGTTCCTGGAACAAAGATTTAACTGTATGTCCGGCTGCTGGTATTCTATGAGGTTTATATGATTACTTTTATAGTGAATCTCTGTAATTTTATAACCAGAAAATTATTTTACAACTTTGGGACCTAACACAGGTTCTCCGTGACTACTTCCTGCAGGCCCCTTAGTTCCGAGCAGAGATCGGGCCCATCACGAAGGGAAGACGAATGAGAGCTGAGTTTCTTCTGAATCTTCCAGCTTTCCACACCAAAAGCAGCAGGACCTCACCCCAGCCCCGATGGCGAGAAAAGCAGGCGCAGCGCGAGAATTCTCTAGGAGAGGAACCCAGGCAGCAGAACAAACGCTTCCTAACACTTCCAGCTGCCATAAACTTAAATAAGCCTCATCTATAATACTTTATAAGTTCATCTGGGAAGAGCCTGACTTGACAAAGTTTGTTTTAAAAGGCCTCAGGAAGGATCCCAAGTAGCACTTACAGGATGAGCAAGGTACAGGAATAAAAAGAGAGTGCTATTCATATATATATTCATATATATATGAACACAAATGCAGTTCTCTGGAACAGGCCACCGGAGTAAAATCCTCACCACACCCACACCCACACCCACACTCACTTCTGAAGGGGCTGGAAACGCTTTCCTGTAAAGGACAGAGTGGAGGGTGTGCCATGGGCCTGGCTGGGCTGCCACCACAGGACCTTCGTGTTGCTCTCCTGTCCTAGAGCATAACTTCACTAAATGGAGAAAATACTTGGTCTTCAACACACACACACACACACACACCCCTTACATAGAAATGATTAGTTTCATTCCTTGATCTGACCAAAAGTTTTACCTTAAGTCCAGTCAGTAAGAGAACTGTGACTCTGCTTCTCCTTGCTTCCAGTCCAGGCCCCCTCTTAGACTCAACAGTGACTAAGGCAGACCACCTTAATAAAAGCAGGACCGACACTTTTTATTTACAAAGACAAAAAATTAGAAACATCTGCCTTTTCCAGATCCCATCTCTCTCCCTCCCTCCCTCTCTCTCTCTCTCTCTCTCTCTCTCTCTCTCTCTCTCTCTTAAAAAATATATATTTTATTGATTTTTCACAGAGAGGAAGAGAGAGATAGAGAATTAGAAACATCGATGAGAGAGAATCATCGATCAGCTGCCTCTTGCACAAGTTACATGCCCCTGACCAGAATTGAACCCGGGACCTTTCAGTCTGCAGGCCGACGCTCTATCCACTGAGCCAAACCGGTTTCGGCCAGATCCCATCTCTTGATCTGAAAACATTACAAGTGGATATTTTCTTCAGATACTCAAAGACTGAGTCATAAAGTCTAAGGAAAATGCTGACTCATACAAGACTAAGCTGAAGGCTACAGGAAAGAGGAATAAATGGTGAAAGGTTTCCTTAAGAGAACATCCAGTAACTTTTCCAATAATAGCAGCATGTCAGAATTAATAGCATGTCTGAAGAATTCTGTGATTCCCTCAGAATACTTCAAGATCAAGTATTCTGAGGGAATCACAATAAATAGGAAGTTTTCCTTTTAGAATCGGCCAAGTTACTTTATCATCACTCATCCCCTCCTTCTCTTTACATTCTAAGGGCACCGGGGCACCTCACCAACCTCCTGCATGGAGGAGAAGCCAGAATCTGTTAGAATTGAACGCTGATAACTGTTTAAAAATATCCTTCACAACAAAATTTCTTTGTGGAATCTATACTCATTTCAAAAATTTCTTCATCTGTAACTTCTTCACTAAATTCGGTTTCTAACTCCATCACTCACAGAAATGGCTCTTTATAAGGTGGGCAATGGTCGGCTGTTCACCCAATATACATCTCGTTGGTGTGATGCTGGGCTCTGTTAGCCACTTCTTTCCTTTTCAGTCAATTTGAACTCTCCTATCCCTTGTCTTCTTCCCTCTCCACTACTCCATCTTGGTCAATCTCCTTTCTAATGTCTTCCTTGGCCAACTTTAAAACGCCTGGCCTGTTCTGTCCGTGGCCTGTTTCTTCTCTCACTAGATGAGCTTCCCAGGGAGGTCACTTCCTCCACCACCACCTGCCAAGGTCCCTCACCTCTTTGTCTCCAGCAAAAAGTCTCTTCAGATCCGCGTAACAGTCCCTTCGTGTTGCTTCCAGACTTTTCATCTTCTCAGACCTCGTTTTGTTTCAGTAGGTCTGACCTTAACCAGTGGCACTATTATATACTCAGTTACTTAAATCAGAAACCTGGAAATCATCCTCAGTATCCACTTCCTAGTTGTGTGTCCTTGGCAGAGTAACTCAACCTCTCTCGCTCCGTTTCCTCATCTGGAAGATGTGCGTAAGGGTTATTGTGTGAGATAATGGAATTAACACATGTACTAAACTGCTTAGCCTGGTGTCTGACACAGAGGGATGCCCCACCGCAATCAGCTGTGATCGTGTCTCTGAGCAGAGTGGGCTGGAGAAGCCTCTGCTACCTCCCTGCTTCCCCTGGAGGAGCCCAGGGCCAGAGGCTGGGGTGACAGCAGTCGGCTGAGAGCTATAGGCAGGTGCCCTGAAATCCATGCATGGAGCTGGATTTGGCAGGTAGGGACCCCGAGTGACAAATTCCCCTTCAGATTGGTTTACAGGACTTGGGATCTGCTCTCCACATCCACACACAGGTGGTCACATTCTGCTTCGAACATGCACACATGCATAAGGAGAGTCATCGTGCAGTTTGTTCCTCAGAAACACAATCCTTTCTGTGCACGTCACCCTTTCCAAGCAATGGACTCACTTCCTTCTACCCAGTCAATGTTAGGTAATACACTACAGTGGAGTGCATCTCACTATGAAATTTATTATATGCAAATTTTATGCAAATTTAATGTGCCCTGTTGTGATAAAAAGAACCTGGGTTTGAGGGTTGGCCAGACTGGCTCTGATTTTTACTAACTGTGTGGCTAACATCTTTCTTACAGGGTTTTGTGTTAAATTATATAATACCCTGTATAAAATACAAAGTATACCTTTGAAATGGAAGGTTCCTTCTGTTCTTATACCCATAGAACCACATATTCCTAAAAGTAACAGGAAGTCTGAGATTTCCTTTTCCTTTACACTTGGACAAATGAACTCCTTAATGTGTATATAATTCCATGTACTTGTCTACAGAACAGGCATAATTCTTCTCTTACAGCTTACTTCCATGGGTTCTGGCAGAATTAATATATTTTGTGCACTGTACAGGCTGCTATGGCAACGGAAGCCCGGTGGACCACATCTAGCCCTGATACACTAGAATGAGAAAGACCAAACTCAGCAGAGACGCAGGGGAGCAAACACACATGCTTGTTGCTGGTGGCATTGCAAATTGGCTCGGCTTCTCAGAAGAGAAACTGGCAGCATGTTGCCAGAGAAACTCAATTGTTCCTCCCTTTGGACTTATGGATTCCACTTTGGGAAATACATCCCAAGGACATTACACCTGCTCCTTCCCCCTTGCTCCAAAAAAGACATTTACAACATTATTCAAAACAAGAAATGAAAAACCCATACATCCTTAAAGGGCCTGGGGCACCTTCACACAAAAATATGAGAAAAAAATGACAGGGGGTGGCCCATATGGATGTGTTACCTATGTGAGAGTGTGCAGTCTTCTTCCCTGGAAGATGGGGATAATGGGGCTGTGCCAGGAGTTAATGGGTTCTGGTGTGAAGAGCACCTAGAACAGTGCCTGGCACACCGGAAACACTCACTAAACGTCACTCATTATAATGGTGACGATGATGTCACCCGAAGTGAAAGGAATAAAAGCAGAGTACAAAGCAGCACGTACATGTTGGTTAGAACAATGATATCAGATACTAGTAATCATTTCTGGGCTAGAGCCCAGAGGGATGGAATGATTTAGTGTTATGTAGTTTCCTTTTGTCCCTCCCACTTTGAGATACAATTGACCTAGACCAGTGGTCAGCAAACTCATTGGTCAACAGAGCCAAATATGGACAGTACAATGACTGAAATTTCTTTTGAGAGACAAATTTTTAAAACTTAAACTTCTTCTAATGCCACTTCTTCAAAATAGACTCACCCAGGCCGTGGTATTTTGTGGAAGAGCCACACTCAAGGGGCGAAAGAGCAGAATGTGGCTCACAAGCCGCAGTTTGCCGACCACGGACCTAGACCATGGTGGAACTTGAAAGTGCAGAGCATGTTGCTTTGATGCACTTACATACTGTCATATGATCACTACTGTGGTGTTAGCTAAAACACCCATCATGTCACTAATTGCCATTTCCTTTTTGTGGTATGAACATTTAAGATCTATTCTCTTGGCAACTTTCAAGTATATAGTTCAGTACTTTTTTCTTTATTGAATTTATTGAGGTGACATTGGTTAATAAGATTATATAGATTTCAGGTGTACATTTCTATAATACATCACCTGTATGTTTGTCATCCCAAGTCTCCTTCCATCATGTATTCCCCTTATACCTTATTCTCCTTTTCCCACAATGCCTTTTCCCCTACTAATCACCATACTGCTGTCTGTGTTTATGAGTTGTTATTTTTTCTGCTTAATCCCTTCAAGGTTTTTCACCCAGCACCACGCCCACCCTCCACAGCTATCACTCTATATCTAAGAGTCTGTTTTGCATGTTAGTTTATCTTGTTCATTAGATTCCACATGTAAATGAAATCATGTGGCACTTGTCCTTCTCTGATGTATTATTATCTCTAATCACCATGCTGTGCATTAATTCCACAGAACTTGCTCATCTTCCAACTGAAAGTTTACTCTTTCTGACCAACACCCCCCCATTTCCCCATTTCCCAGTAACCACCATTCCACTCTCTCTTTCTATGAGTGCCATAGGTTCCTTTTCCCCTTGAGTTCATAATAGATAAAAAAAAAAGAAATGAGAGAACAAGTATCTCCAAAACAAACTGGCACTTGCTTTAAGACAAGTTTAGTGATCTCTGTGAAATAATTCTCTGGTGCACAGCCATTGATAAGTAAACCAGCAGGCCCCAGAGGCCCAGGAGGGCTCGAGGACCAGGCCTGCTGGCCGTGCAGCCGAACTGCCCGCACTTCGCTGGTGTGGCCCAAGACTAACAGAGGTCCAGCTGAAGGCCCGGATTCCGTCCATTCCACCACGCTGCACAACACTCTGTGGCTACCCCAAATTAGAGGTTTCACCCAACTTGCCACATGCTTCCTGTGTAATTCAGTGGCTGAACACGTCCTCTGGTAATGATTCTATTTCTAACCCAGTGGGAAGGTCGACATTATATTCTTTTTTTTCTTTTTTTTTTTTAAATATATATATTTTATTGATTTTGTACAGAGAGGAAGGGAGAGAGATAGAGACTTAGAAACATCGATGAGAGAGTGTCATCGATCAGCTGCCTCTTGCACACCCCCTACTGGGGATGTGCCCGCAACCAAGGTACATGCCCTTGACCGGAATCGAACCCAGGACCCTTCAGTCCCCAAGCCGACGCTCTATCCATTGAGCCAAACCGGTCTCGGCCGACCTTATATTCTTGACAGAGGTCTGCCTTGAGCCTGCAGGACAAGATGTACATCAAATATACCGGGATACTAGGGAATTCTAAGTGGAATTTAATTGGGGCCATTTGCCGGTGTGGGGGAGGTGGGGCAATGCTGGCATTTAAAAAGCAGGCCTTGGTCCAAGGACATCTTCCTCTCTCGCCTCAATCACTAGTGGCCCCTGTCAGCATTCACCCCTTTTCACCCATTACCATGCTGCGTCTGGGCTGAGGTCCTTCCCTAATGCACAGCCTTCCAATGGCTTTACTTGGCACTTAGATTACCATCTGAATTCCTGACCATGGCATCTGCACGGGTTTCTCCCTCATCCTGGACGGCTCTTCCCTTCCCCCTTCACTACCTAAGTCCTGTTCGTCTGCCAGGTCTCGTGTGTGTCACTTCCTCAGGGAAATGTCCTTGGTCTAGGCTAGAACTGCCAGTTAAACATTCATCCTTCACTTTTGCATAACACTCAATGCTTATATAATTATCTGTCCCATATCCATTTTCTCCACGGGATTAGGAATTCTAGGCAAGCAGCTGTGTCAGGATCATGCCCCCTGTCCTTACTCGGTAGTAGGCACATAAATATTTGTTGGATGTTTGGTCATATAAATGAATAAATGAGTGAATAGTGAATGAATGAATAAAGACTGAAGGGAAGAAGACCAAGGGCTTAGTCCGTCCCAAATTAATGATGAATCTGGAATTTTAGCATTAAGCAGAGAAGGTGAGATGGCGTGGACATTAGCCAGAAAGTCTCTGAAATCACATCAATGACTTCGGGAAGGTCACGAACTTCTGCGCCAAGCAGAGTGCACCTATGGCAGCTCCGAGGACACTCACCTGCACTATCTGTGAGGGTCTTAGTAGCTGATGTTTTCATCATCTTCTCGCTGAATAAAAGAAAAAGAGAGTCAGCTACACAGTTTCCAAAATGCCTTTTTTTTTTTTTTGCCCCCTCCATTCATTATTCTAAGCAATGAGCAGCAGGTAGTGATGGTATCAAGCAATGAGGGGACTTTAGCATCAGCACCACTATTGGCCGGATGGAAAAGGCTTCCCAGGTGTGCACTGACACTGCGGGCGGAGTACAGCGGGTGGGCACTCATGACTTTGAGAGGATGGCGGAGGTGGGGACGTGTGGACGGTGGTTGCAGACACTGCACAGTGGTCCAGGAAGCCACATGCACTGGGAAGCCCATTTACCCTTCTTGGGCCAAAGTGTTACCTTCGACCAAGAATTACCAGATGGAAAAAAACAAACAACAAACAAACCATGATTCAGAGAGATGTGACTATTTTCAGCCTTGAAATGATTACAAGAAAACGGATTTGAATGAGTGAATTATCTTAATGATTAAAGAGAAACAGATTGAATTATTTAATTGGTTTGTTTCTTCTTTTTACCTAGATGCATCTTTGCTATTACTTGTAAGGGGCCCTTTAAAAAGCGCAGACTGAACAAGGCCAGTTAAACTGGCAATCTGTCTCTCCATGGCTTGCATCCTCTCTCTGTAAAACAAGAGAATTGTTTGTTAAAAGCTTTATTGACTTTCAGACTGGTTCGTCTGGTGAATGATCACCCAGGGTCATAAAAGGTACCACCCAGTAGGCCAGTGAAGTGCACCTGCCTGGCTCGGAGAATGTGAAGGGCCTGCAAATCTCTGCTGAGCTTGAGTCGTGATGGGAGTTTAATACTAACCTCAAGACCTCACTGAAAAGATGCTGTGCAGACCTGCAGAGGCCTCCTGCAAAACTGGAAAGTGTCTCCCTCAGAAGTAACTCTGCTTGCGTGTAGTGTTTCCGAGCCTTTCTGCCCTGCTTCTGCCATTTTACTGCTGGTACCAGTAGTGTCCTACCTCAGCTATGCCCAGTGGCTCAGGCCTCTAAGCTGTGCTCCTCAGCTGGGGACTGATGACAAGTTTTGGCGCCAGTGATGGGGATGTGTGTTGTGTGTGAGGTAAAACTTGTTTTATCATCTGAGAGCACCAACAATGAATGCCTCTTAAAACCATGGAAATATGTGGCTGAAATCAATGTCTGACTCTGGGGTGAATGGTGCTCAATCTAATGAAACAGGAACTTTAACCTGTGTTAAAGGGCTTCTCCAGGATCAAGCAGAAAAACAAATATCTCTAACATAAATGAGTAACCCCAATTGTTTAATGTGCACAGATGCCGCACCTGCACAGGGCTCTCTAATGGTTCGTCACAATTCATTTGGCTCAAATTTTTGTACCTCAGACAATGTCAGTTTCACAGAGCTATTACCTTTATTTTCAGCACATTAAACAAACAACATCACCAGTGTCCTCCCTCTGCTGGCTAGGTGCAGAGGGCATCACATGACTGCAGGCAAATTCAGTGACATTTACTTGGGAGTTTAAAACATAAAGACAGGCAGCTTGAATAGTGGGGGCACCTTGCCAGCCATCGTGCCCCATGCACAGGTGTCCTAGTGTGAGCATGAGACAGAGAAGGAACCCACTCTTCACCATGGTGTAGGTGTCGCCAACCTCTCCATGCTTCCTGTGCTACAAACTGCATATTCACACAGTGTGGCTTTTACACAAAAGCCAACTATTTTATCAGGTACCCAATGGAAATTATGGTGTTCTGTTCTTGCCCTGAAAAACAATAACTGGTTACATTGGACTTATTGAGAGATGCTATATCTATATCTTAAACTTCATGACAATCAAGCAGACTCTTAAGGGTAATTTGGTCCATATACAACTTTTTGGCCTTGGATTTTGCCTTGGGAATATAAATAACCCTTACGAAACACCGAGTTTAATTTCACAATTACAAGCTTCTGACTTCAGAATTCCATGCATTTTTTTTTTTTTTTTTTAGTTTAAAATGAATGGTCTGTCACAATACTGAGTTTATTGGGTGAAAGTCACGCAGTCTAGGCAGTTCATGGTTGTAAACCCACTAAGGGAAAAGAAATGATTTAAGCATGAATAGTATGATCTCTTTGCTCTAGTCATGTGGGAAGGAGAAATCTCGAGCAGTGCAAGTGGGAATACATCTCCATCTCCATTCAGCGAGTTTCCAGGTGTTTCCAGGTGTGGCAGTGAATGCTAAACTCCTGAGCTGCAAAGCATTTACAGTCACACCTGTACTTCTGGTCTCCTCTCTGTCATAACACATGCATGTGCCAAAGAGGAAATGTAGGAAGAAACTACACTCAAGAAAGCAGGTTAGTAAATTCCTAATGGATATCGTATGTTCATCAGACGCAGGTCGCTATGGTATGTCAGAAATGGCTGGCTAGCGGCTGATCATGCTGCCTGCCTGTGGGAGACACAGACTCACATAAATGGGCTCCTAGGAAATGAGTGGCTTCCACCAGGACCAGCTGAGAAGCGGGTGAAAGTTGTCCAGGGCCCCCGTTCTTCCCATGGTAATGCTGTAAGTCAAACTCATGACCCTCAGAGTACAGGTACATTTAGAACCACCTTAAGATGTACTACTTTCCTGCTCTTACCCAATCCTAGGCAAATACAAAGCATTGCTTTCTTTTTCTTTTTTCTTTTAAAAGCAGCATGGCATTTTTATTTTATTTTTAAAAAATATTTTACTAATTTTTTACGGAGAGAAAAAGAGAGGGATAAAGTTAGAAACATTGATGAGAGAGGAACATCGATCAGCTGCCTCCTGCACACCCCCTACTGGGGATGTGCCCGCACGCAACCACCGTACATGCCATTGACCGGAATCAAATCTAGGACCATTGAGTCCACAGGCCGACGCTCTATCCACTGAGCCAAACCGGTTTCAGCAGCAGCATGACATTTTTAGGGTCTAGACAACTTTGGTGAGGGTGGCTTGAGGGGTTCCATGAAGCTGGAGCGTGGGACAGGAAGGCATGATCACAGCATAACTACAGACAGAGGACAGTGCTACTAAGAACTCTAACAAGCAGGTAGGTCTATGTCCGTAGAGAATAAGTGAGGATCTGATAAGAGGGAAATGGCAGAAGAAGAGATTCAACATGGCTCTAGGCACAGCCCTGATTAGGGCTAAATCACTGTTCTTTCTGAACCCTCACTGGCCAACAGGTTTCATGACCTTGTCTAAGAAAGGTTAGCAAAACATTAAAAACCAAAACAGCCCTGACTGGTTTGGCTCAGTGGCTAGAGCGTCGGCCTGTGGACTGAAGGGTCCCAGGCTCGATTCCGGTCAAGGAGATGTACCTTGGTTGTGGGCACATCCCCAGTAGGGTGTGTGCAGGAGGCAGCTGATAGATGTTTCCCTCTCATTGATGTTTCTAACTATCCCTCTTCCTCTTCTCTGTAAACAGTCAGTAAAATATATTTTTTAAAAACACCAAAACACACACACACACACACACACACACACAAATCAAAACAAAGAACCTGGATCTTTCCAGACTCAGGGCATTGATCTGCAACTAATCCATCACAGTGGTTGGAACCGCACAATGCTACAGCACAAGCTGGGTCATTTCCACACGAGCGTCCATAGGGTGACATTTCCTCAGCTCAGTGAGTACTTGGCTTTTTGCTGTGCATCTCCAGAAATCGGTTTTAGGGTGCAGAGAAAGGCAATCCACAAATCCACACTCCTCTTCTTACTCCCCAGGGATCATGTCCACATAGTTACAGAGCTTCCTGGGGTCAGAGTCTGGATGCTTTGAAGCAGGCGTCTTCAAACTGCGGCCCACGGGCCACATGCAGCCCGCAGAGGAGTCTGATCTGGCCCGCCAGGTTTTTTGGGCAATGAGCGCAGCCGAGGCGTTACAGTAGGAATTAGTAGTTCATATAGTCCGGCCCTCCAGCTCTCTGAGGGACCGTGATCTGGCCCCCACTTTAAAAAGTTTGAGGACCCCTGCTTTGAAGGAAAGGCCCTAGATTCAGGCCAGGTATCACACCCTTGGCTCTCCTTTCTGTATCTGTGAGGACCTCCGGGCTATGTCACTAGCTGGGCCCCAGAAGGAAGACAGGGTCTTTCAGGGCCTCCCGAGTTTAAAACACTTGAGCTGACACCTGAGGGAGCAATTCTCTCCCACTGACCAGGAAAAGCGGGTCCCACACGTGGCTGAGGCGCTGAATGCACATGCACTGTCTTGGCCAAAACCACGTTATAAAAGTACAATTTTTCGACACATGGAAATAAGAAAACTTTCCCTCTCCTATTTAATCATCAAAGTGTTTCTGGTTTCAGGATTCATTTGAGGGAGATTATCTGATTTATAAATTCATAAATAAGATTGTCTTTCCATTTCATGGTTGGTAATCAGGAAATAATTTTATGGTTTAACTCAATTACAGCAACTGGAAACTTAGGCAGCCTTTGCCCATGATGAAATGTTATGAAGTACGTTTTAATGTGAAACAAGGGGAAAAAAAAAGTGAAGTGCAGTGGAAGAAGAGAAATTATATATGACCCTCTCATTTTATTGCAGTGACAATTTTGTATAATAATCATCAAAATATTAAAGATGCTAAAGCTAATTCTTGCCAATATCACTTGGTTTAAGGTATTACAGGTTTGGTATAATTACTGTTGAAAGGATGGTTTAAAAGTGATTTCATAAACCATTTTCTATCATTCCATAAACCATATTTATGGGATTAGTATATATGGCTAACTAGTCATTTAGCACAGTAAGTCAGCTTGGGTGAATGAATCTTTTCAGGGCCCAAGCATATATTAATAAAAACTCAAGTCCAAGTCCAGGGAAAGTGCTGATCCCAGGACTGAAATTCCTGCTTCAAAAATGGGTTTTCCTGCAAGCACCAATCTGTCTGTGAAGACAGCAAAGCCTAGACTGCTCACAGTCTGCTCTCTGTCTTCAGAGTAGAGGGACGAAAAAATGTGCATTTGAGGGAATACTTTTAGCCAGTAACTCCATTTATACAAT